CGCAAAATCCTCCCTCCCGGGTGGATGAGAAACTCGAAGCGTTCCTTCTCAGACGACTCGCACACCTGGAAGATCTGCTCCATACGGAGCCCATTCCAAATCTGCCCCAACGCCTCGAAGAATGCCGGGAAAGATGTTGTTCCATTTCCATCGAACTCAAGATGGGGTGCGTGGGCGCACTTCTTGGAGAAGCCGCGGAGCAGCCATGTCATCCTCCGGCTCAACGTCTCAAGGGCATTGGGAGAGAGGTAGCGCCTGATCTGAATGACCGGCATCTCGCTACCGACGCACCAGTATGCTGCTGACTCATCGATGGTAGGACCATCCCTTCCGGGAGGTGCACGCGCAGGCATTGCCTTGGGCGGCGCAGCTCGGGAAGGAGCAGGCAAGACCTTGTTCCCCAGGTCGGTGACGTCTTCGCTGAGATCGATGAGGGTCTTATCCTGGCGAACCCTCTCTCTGGTCTGATGCAAGATCTCTTCCACGGAGGAATCCGGCTCGTTGATGGGGAGGAGCGGTTCACACGCAATGTCCGGATCGTCAGGATCATTGATGACAATGGTGTCGATGCCGCGCTCCTTCTCAATCTCGACGGCTTGCTCGTCATCGAGCTGGCCTTCAACCGAGTCGAGCGCCTCCATCAACCTCCTCACACGGGGGTTGTTCGCGTCGAAGAGGATCACCTCGTCGTCATCGCCGCCAGACCCGTCAGGGTTGAGGTAAGCCCGGTCGTCCTCGGTGATAGGGACAGCACCCATGTCTGGGTGGTCTTCGTCCGAGGGGTTTGTAGCCTTCCGGACAACGTTCTGGGCGACAATGATCTCCTCGCTTTGATCTCTCGACGTAGGCGCCCGCCACGCGAAGTCCTCAATCCTTGGCCTCACCATGTCGGTGCACGGTGGGACCGTGAGGGACATTTCCGGCTGCGCCAAGTGGAAGTGATTGTTGAAGATCTGGCTTCGCTGATTTGCAAGGAAGTCCTCCCGCATCATGAAGATCTGCCGACCCGTCAGGGTGGTGGAGACAAGCGCTCGCCACCAATCCGTGGCAGCTTGAAAGTTGTCTTGCGTGGCAACCATGTGATATTTGTCGTAACGAACCGTGCCATAAAGAAGCGCGTAAGGGTCGACGACCCTCACGCCGTTTGCGACTAGGTAGTCGGTGTGCTTCTTCATCTCCCTGTCGTACTCCCAATCCAGCCCGTAGGCCTGGGCGACAGTGCCAGCGACAACGGTCAACGACCTGACACACTCATGTCCAGCCAACGCAACAACCTTCCGGAGTGCGGTTTCCACCTTGGCCAACTGTTTGACGGGCCAGTGCTCCGCTCTGCGGATTTGCTCTTCGGTCTGTTTGATCCAGGGCGACACAAGGTGCCACGTGTAGCCCTGGTACCCATACGGGCCATGGACGTCGTTCCCCGCCCAACTGATGAAAATATCCAACCCGTCAGGGTGGTGGATCCTCAAGAAATCCTCCACGATCTGGGTGAGGAGAGTGAGGTCCTTGCCCCATTCCATCATGACGTTGACTTCCGTCACGCGAGGGTCATGCGACAGAACATCCCGAAGGGGACCCTGGAATGTCATCTTGTTGATCGCACGACCGCCCTTGTGCGTGCACAAGGCGAGAGAGGAGTCGCCGATGATGAGAACTTGGGATTTCATCGTTGGCGGTGGCGGAATACGTTCAAAAGCCGGGGTATAGAAACCCCCCAGGAGCTGTACCACATCCGTGTGGAGGGGTCGGTCAGAAAGGCCGTGCTCCATCTCGGTGACGCGGTAGCACAAGTCGTATGGCTTTGAGACGTCAAACGCACTCTGAGCCCTTGGCCCCCATCCCACGACAGCCATGTCGAAGATGAGGTCGAGCATAGTTTGCGTCCATCCCGCCAGGGAGGAGTCATGTACCGTTTTGGACGGCACGTCGTCAGTGCTGTAGGCCCTGACGCCGTAGATCCGGTACCACCTCATAGATTGTGGTCCACGGCACACTTGGATACCCCTTCCGGAGATCGAGCCACTGTTGCACAGGGATGACACGAAGAAACAAGTCATCGGGACTGTCAGCCTCCGTGGGCTCCCGGAAATTGCGCACTGCGTCATTCCACCACGCTGGTGATGAAAGTCCAGCCAAGGCGTCAGCCAGGCGATCCGCATCAGTAGCGGCGGCCGACATTTCTTGGAGGCGAGCAGCACGCTCCTCTGCGCTGAGAATCTCAACTGCACGAGATGCCATTCCTTCAGAAAGACAAGGAGGAGATTCGAGGCGAGGATTGCTGGGGAGCTTGATTGCTGGAGCGGCTACGTATGTGCAAGGAGTCCTGCTCATGTTTTCCTGAAACGCCTTGTGAATTAGATCAACCATGCGCAAGCAGTACTCTTCAGAGCTGCGATTACACTTGCCATGCACGTGCCCTCCAGTGCAACACTTGTCACGGAATGCAACATACAAGGAATCCAAGGTAGTAGCAATAGTCCATGGTTTCTTGACGGATTCACCCTTTTCGTTGCGAAGACCGAAACGACAACCGTCGAAGTGGGCCTTCCGAATGGGTTTCCCCTCGATCCATTTGACAATCCGAGTCCATTTCCAATACTCGCAGTCCTTTGGCCATTCAATGGCATAGTCGACTAGCAGTCGATCGAGGCCATGGGACAGGTCGACAAATGATGCCCAAAGCTTGGTGAATTTCCTCCGGGCCTCGAAGACGGCGCTTCGGTTCTTGTCGACGGCAAGATTAAGGCGAGCCCATTGCGAACCCCCCGTACAAGGAAGACTAGCCCAAACGAGGATACGAAGACCGTCCTTGTGGGCCTCCTTTGCGATGGACAAAACTTCCCGTCGGGTTTTGGGATCGTTCAGGTTCATAGACTCAGTAATGCGAACGACCTTGCAGTCCTTATATTTGTTAATAGCAAGATTACCAATTAGTGAGTCGTCACCGCAACACACTTCAATGATCAACCGCTTGTGCAAAGGAGGAGACCTCTGCGTCAGCAGGGTGGATCCAGGAGTGGTGGCGGCCGCGCCAGATTTCCTCACATCAAGCTTGAGGGGAGATATGGCCATAAGTGCAAGAGCACGCGACCACTTCTCAGCATTGGTGAATGGCTTAGTGAGGATATCGGCTGCTTGCAACAATGTACTGATGTACGCAATGTCATAGTGCTTTCTTCTAAACTGTTCAGAAATCCATCCCAAGTTAATCCTCTGCGTTTTGTCAGCATGACGAAAGGCTGGCGACTTACCTGACTCAAGGATTCTGATGGTGGCTTGGTTGTCCTCAAGCACGACAGGCTGAATGGAATGTGGAACCGTAACCACAAGTCCTATGTCCTTATCTGAACCCTTGGGTGCAAGCTCTTCCGAGGACCGACCCCCCGTATTCCTGATGCCTTCAATCTCGCGGTGCATGAAAGCCTCCGCGTCAGCGTGGCGTCTGTAGTCCATTGTGGACCTGCGATAGACGATTACACACGCTTCGGCTTTAGGATCAACGGGTCTATCCCTTCTCTTAAGTTCTTCCCAGGCAACAGCTTCCTCAACTTGAACCCAAGTACCCTTTAACTTAACCCAAACGTCGCGCAGTGGATGAGTGTTCATCTCAACTGGTTCAGGCAGGGATGAAAGGTTGGTGAGCAGTTCGACCACTCTACCATCAATGAGGTGCGAAGTGCCCAGGTAAGTAACTCCTTGGATAAGGGAATCCGGGTGGTTAGAGAGGAGTTTATTGGGAACATCACCCTTCCGGGGAGTGTGCTTAGGTTTTGTGCTGCTATCCCCCCCCGCATTCTGAAGCACGCTCCAAAGCGCGGAAGAAGGAAGACCTAATGCACGCAACGAAACATTTGCACACACGACCTCGGCCTCAGTGGAACTAAGGGCAATGCTGGTCTGCTTCTTACTGAAAGCTGCAAGGGGGAAGTACGTATTAGGACCAACCAAAGCAAGGAAGCCTCCTGAGGTGCTTTTGCTGTCATGCTCACCTGCGTGGTCGCTGTCAGCAAACAACCACAGCTTGCAAGTGCTAATGTCGTCACCTATGAATCCGCGCATGCGGTACTCCAATGTAGACGCGACATAGCACATCAAGCGATGCAAGGCTTTATCGCACTCAACAGACCACTTGGTGACTCGACTGGCTAATCCCTGAACTGCGCGCAGCAGATCGTACCTTGCCATCCTTGCTGCGAACAACAGCTTCATGAGAATGCGGCTTGCTATGGGAGCAAGCTGTCCGCGAGGTTCGGCCTCGGTGCCAACCGGGCGAGCGATCTTGTCGTCATGGAAGGGCGTAGCAACCTTTCGCAGGTGTTGGAATTGTGGGCCTGCGAGCTTCTTGTACTTATCAATGGCTTGCTGCAAAAAGGAACTCATGTCGTACACAACTTCCTTAACACCCTTAGTCATGCAACCCTTGTTGTCGCTCAGTTGATTGACATCGAAGAATGCTTTCTTCCTCGCTTCTTTCTTAGCTTCGTTCTTGTCCCTGATCTTCTTAACTGCAGCAAGAGCTGACGCATGATCGTGCTTATCCGAAAGAAGATAGGTGGCACCAACCCATAATTTAGACCTCTTGCCCCGACCGGAAGGATGATCCCATGATTGCTCGATAAGCTCATCATCATCAATGGACCTCACTTCCGTGAGTCGGTGTTGACCAACGGCGCAAAGCTTGGCTTCAGAGGCCGGCAGGGCATAGAGTGCACGCCTGGGCTGCACATGGTGACGCACCAAGACGCCTTCTTCGGGATGGAATTCAGTGTAGTCCGCACGCACGACTGCAGCGGCAGTCTCCTTGGCAGCGGGATCACGAACGTTCTTGTCAAAGACGTGAGCAAAAGGATGATCAGAATGCTTAAGGTTTGTGCTCTTAGAGATGTGCTCGCAACCCAAGTAACGACCTATGGGAGAGGGGGAGTCCATGTCAATTTTCGAACTGATCAACTCCCACCCTTTCTGCATGTTGGCTTTAGGTCCGGCCATCTTAAAGTCATCTACATAGACTGCAAGCAGAAGGCGTAGCTGGGGGTGGAAGAAAACTGAAGGCCATGCAGCCGGGAACACAAGCTGAAACCCGACCTCGCCTAACATCTTTTCACAGCGTAACTCCCAGAAACCCCCGCTATCAGGATGACCGTAGAGTGCCAGCGTCAGCCGCACGACAGGATCTTTGTACTTTCCCTTCCACTCTGAAGGCCATCGGTCAGGCGGAAGCCTAACCCATGTTTCCTTTCCCTTGAGCGTGGTTTGGGTGTATGCTTGTTTGCCGTCGGCCTGCTGACAGTCGTTGCCAGGTGCGTGCCCATAGGCGTCAAGCGCTTTCCCAGCCTCCATCGTGGCGGGACTGGATCCGAGCTCACTGAAAAGAGCCTGATCACTATTTTCATCTTTGACGTTGTTCCCTTGGAACACAGTTCGACCCTTGAATTTTCGTTGTGGGTCGCCTTTGGGAAGCTCACTTCCCTTTTCTACGCAGATCTCGAAAACTTTTCCAACATGAACCTTTTTCCCCTTTTTGATGGCTTCGTCACTGACGTCTTTCCATTCCCGAACAGATCCCATGTCCCAGGCTTTCTTAACCATTAATTTGTTCCATTCGACATCAAGGGCAGCCTGGGCCTTCGGGTCCTCGAGGATTTCTCTGCGACCGACAGGCCTTGCGACAAGAGCAAAAAGCTCTCGTACCTCGTCCTCTGAGACAGGAAGGTTGCTGGAAATCTTTTCACGATGCTCGGGCTCATGAGGTACAGTAGGCATGGCAGGGAATGCATCCTTACCATCTCCGTCAGGAGCGGGACTGTGGATTCTGTCCAGAATGAACTCAGTCTTGCCGATCCACTTGAAACTGGTCTTTTTGTTCCGCTTCCTAACGTTCTTCCAATCATCGTCCTCATGGATGACATCAACACCACCTACGGGAATGATAGTCGTACTCCGTTGCTTAGAGATGCGCGATAGTTCAATCGGACAATCTGTGATATCCGGTGAGAACATTTCTCTTCTGGGAACATAATGATAGCGTATTAGCTTACATTCGTTCAGTCGGACCTCCCAGTGGTCCTTGCTCGCAGCAGGTGCTGCGGCGGCGGCGGCAGAGGAGCTACCGGCTGAACCCTCGGTAGGAGTCTCCATATCACGCAATGCTTGCTCGCGTGCCTCATCAACAATGGCCTTCTCCTTCTGTTTCTTGGACATGTTGACCCAAAGGTATGAGGGAATGGATTCGGGCTTCTTAGAACCTCTGGTGCCTCCATACTTTCTACCAAGAGTACCCCCCGAATCATAGTACCGACCCCCTTCAGGGAGATCAATTTCTTTCCCCGTCTTAGGATCAAGTACCTTCTTGGGCGGCTCGACCTCTCGGTCTGCGGGTGCAGGCGGTTGCTCATCGGCAGCTTCAGCGTCCTGATTGGTGAGCGATTGACTGACAGGTCCTTCAGTAGCATCTGATGCGAGACCTGCTTGAACCCTTTCATACCTCTCACGCATGGGAAAAACAATCTTACCATCAGTGAGCTTGTACTGCGATGCAATAACTGGCTTCAGGCACTCGTGGAAATCATGCTTGTTCAGCTGCTTGAGATGAATTGCAAAGACCTCCTTGCGCCATTTCATACCAGGCTGGAACTTGTATCCCATAAAAATCGCAGGCTCACTGGTAGGCTCGAATCTGTCTCTACCCTTGCGCTGGGCTTTCGGACCAACCCAAACGTCGATCCTACAACCGAAAGGAAGGGGTTCTTCAGGAAATGCAACACCAAAACGCTTGAACCAAGGAGTATACTCTTTGCCCCCCGGATTGCTGATGTTGTAGGCAGTGCATGCATGCTCAAGGGCAAACGGCCAGTAAACCTGCGAAATGCCAGCTTGAATGAGATTGGTGCGAGTGCCCTCAGTGGTGGCTCGCACAGCACGCTCAGCAACAGCGTTGGACTGATGGATATAAGCCTTAGAGAGCTCATGGCGCCAGCCGAGCGTTTTGGCCGCAGCCTCAAGTTCCCTAGACTTATCGCTGTAGAAAGTCTCCACATTGTCCTTCGCGGATGCGAAGTGCTGGAGCGCCACGAGGCATTCGTCTTCCGACTTCAATGCAGCAGGGTATGCATACATGAAACAAGTGGCAACATCCTTAACCACAAGTGCAAGACGCGAATCCTCAATGACGGTTTGCTTGTCCCTGTGCAAGATCAGATGATCCGCGGTCACATGGTCGCCAAAAACCTCTGCTTCGATAGTACTGGTTTCCTTCTTGTAAGAAGGAGGCTTGTACATCTTAGCTCGTTGGCATATTTGGCAATAAGGGTTCTTGGGGACATGAGTCATGAGGTGTTCACGGGTTGTTGATTCTTTGATCAGAGCTTCTTTGCTCCGTCTACGAGCTCTACGTTCAGGTGCTTCAGGATCGTCACTTGATGCTGCTTCCCCATCGGGGGCATCGGCCGCTGCCGGGGCAGGAGGACCAATGTCCGGTTCAGCACGCACCTCGTCAGAGGGCGGAGCAGGGCGAGAACCATCTAGAATGGCTCGCACCCGTGCCGCACCTTCGGACCTGAGGAGACCAAAGTCTCGAACACCATCCCTGGGCTCGGATTTTGCTTTTGGTTCAGGCTTAGGCTTAGCTTTAAGTTTTACTGTAGGCTTGGTGCGGTCCGGCAAAGGCCGGACAGGCGTGTCTTCCTCCATCAGTTCCCTGAGAGTTCTTTCGTCAGGATCATCGGCGGATGCCGGCGCAATAGGGACCCTCTTGTGAGGAATAACAAACCCACAACCTCGAAGCTTCGCAACGTCCTGGTTATCAAGTTGGTAAACTGACCTACACGTGTAGGCAGTAATGCTCCAACGTTCACCCTTCCAAGGTCTTACGGAATGGGATGTCTTCGGGTCAAAAACGACAATCTTGTTGTGACTGTCATGGACCATCCCAGGGAGTTTGGTGCCTACAGAATCCTTGACCTCTAGATAATTTTTATCGGTTTTCATAGCGTTCGGGTCATGAATCCAAAGGCCACCATTGGAAAACTCTCCCACGGCAATCGTAACGTTGAGATGGTCTTTGTGATTGTTCACATCCTTATGGACCTTGATAGGCGAGTTCTGGTTGATACAGAGTGAGGAACAGCTCTCCAACTCCGCGCCTCTTTTGCGAAGAAATGCAATGAGATACTTGATAGTATTAACACGGCGTCCAGTTCTCTTGGTTACACCATGAAACCCTCCATGTGCGAAGGCACCAAGTATCACATACTTCTCTTTGCTATTGCCATGTTTCTCTCCTAGTGCTTTTCTTCTACTCCTACCTGCTCCGAAGTTGACGGTGCGTAAGAGATCCACGCATGATCGCTCCGAGAAGTCGTGCTTCTCCAGAAGCTGCAAAGCAATCTCTTCAGAGCTGCGATCAGGCATTTCACCTCTGGCAACCGACTGAATCTCATCGGACTTAGATTCACGCGCAGGGCAGGCAGTGCCCTCCTTCCACGATTTGAGGAAAGGCACGTTATCTCGAACGTCAAGGAAAACTCTTTCACCCTCAGGAGTTTTCAAGTAAGGGCGAGTACAGGCTCTCCAAATGAAATCGAAACCTTGCTCCATGCAACGCTGTCCTATGGAGAGGACTGAAGGAGTGTCGGGCAGCACATAAGGCTTGGCAGAAATAGCAATCGACGGAACGTCGACATCACATTGCTTGTCAGCGGAGCTGGGACCGTTCGCGGTCATGATGTTGATTGGCTGTTCAGACTCATAAGCCTTCAAATGCTGAAGATCTCTTTCAGCGATTAGGTCTTGTGCACTCCCGGTGTCGCCAATCCATTCAAGGTTAAGCATCTTGGAGGACCCTTTAGTCTTAGCAGGGCACGACATTCTAAGACCCTTTGGGATACAGTGATTACATCCAATCTCCGAATCACACTCCCAGCGGCAGGCCGGAACATCGTCCTTGGTAGAGATGGAAGCTTTCAGCATCTTCGCTGACATCTGGGCCTCTCGGATGGAGTCTGCTCTGGTTTCTGGGACAAAATCCAAAGGCTTTTCTCCTCGATGCTTACGGTTGGTGGGCGATATTGGAGTGAACCTCGCGTTGGGATCACTAACAGGAATGTTAAGGTAATCGACTTCAGAGCTGAAATTTACCGCTGGTAGCGCCAGACTATAGGGATACGTGCAATTGGTGATCTGGTCCGTCCACTCCTTCCGGAGGGAGAAAGCATCGGCTTGGGTGGCCGAACCAGCAACAAGAGCACTGAGGAGACACACAGCAGCAGGGATACCGCCTGAAGGCTTCTTTCTGCCTGAGCCCTTCGAGTTCTTGGAGCCTTGACTTCCTTGGAATTCCTGCTACCCTTAGAACCCTTGGAGCTAGAGCGAGAAGACTTGCGATCTTTCTTCTTCTTGCGGTCCTTCTTCTTCCCTTTGCCTTTTGACCCCTTCCCACTGGTTTCGGAAGGCGCAGCTGCACCTGGCTTGCCTGTATGGAGAAAATTACAGTTCTCCCCCCGATCGCAACGTCCTTGCTTGTAGAACTTGCAGATCTTAGGCTTACCACCGGGGCTTGCAGAGCTTGCTCGTGAGCTAGCCGGCGTAGCGGAGCGTCCGCGTCCCTTGACCGGAGTCTGGTGCTTGTACTTACACTGGTCACCTTTGGTGCAGGAACCATTACGGACCCATGAAATGCAGAAACCTTTAGGAACCCTCTTAGGTGCAGGTGCAGTGGGCACAGCAGGACTGCCCGTCTGTCGAGCCATCCGTTCCCGGTTGCGTTCAAGGCGCTTCCTGTTGAGGTGCGCATTAGCAGCATCATACAGGAAACTGTAGGACCGTTCTTTGGAACCTTCAAGAGCTCTTTCATAGATGTTGATGTCATGCGAGAGAGCTTTGACCTTCTTGACCTGTCTGTGAAATAGTGGTTCGAGGAATGATGCTTCAGGGGTTTTGGGAATCCCCGACAACACCGTATCCCAATTTCGCATGAAGGTGAGAAGATTCTCATTGAGCAACGTGACTGAAAGCAAATCTTCCATGTCATACACCGCCCCATGCTGAGCGTTCGTCGCAAAGTAGTTGTGAATCCTGAAGAGAATCTGCCTTCCTCTAACTGGGCGTCCGGCGTTGGCCTCTGTTTCTTTGAAGGTGTCCACCTGACGTGCAAAGTCGCCTTCCAGGATGTTTGACAGAGCTGAAAGGATCTTAGCATCAAGGGTGGTGAATCCTTCCGGATCACGAAGGGTTTCCTCCTTCATATCGGCTTCCCAAACCCTAGACAACCACTCGAAAGCTTTGTCGGGCTTATCAGATGCAGCTACAACAGCGTCACGAACTCTGATGCGCCAATTGCGATAGCTCTCGGGCTGAGGAAACTTTGGGACTAAAACCTTCTCAGCTTCCTTGGTTTTGGGAGCCTTATCCGATGACTCGGCTTTGTCGGCATCTTTGTCATTTGAACCACCTTTCATCATCTTCTTGAAAAACCTCTTCATCTCTTTCGGTGATATCGCCGAAGATGAGGAAGAATCAGAGGACGAAGATGAGTCCCTCTTTTTCTTCTTCTTCTTCTTCTTCTTCTTCTTTTTGTCGTCCTTCTTTTTCTTCTTGTCTCCATCATCATCATCATCATCGTCATCATCTGGGTCACCTGGCTTGCCTTTGCCTTGGCCAGGCGGTGTGTCGAGGCGATGCACCTGTGGGAGACCGGGCGGTGGCCCGCTAGGACCAGGGTTGCCTTCCGGCTCCCGATGATGGGGCGAATCGGTCTGACTGGCAGCCTTCTGTAGCATTTCTTGAGCTTGAAGCAACTTAGCACGAAGATCAGAGTTCTCGCTCGTGAGTGCTGAGCGGTGCTCGGCTTCAGAATTGAAGCGTCCGAGCATAGCATTGAATTCAACCTTCATGCTCTCAACCTGTTCGGATAGCCTCGCATTGTGAATGGCGTACTCACTCTGAACATTGTGAGAAAGTCTCTCAAGCTTGGAGTACTCGGCATCAGCGTAGGCTTCCGCCTCGCAAAGACGCTTGTGGAGCCCAATGGCTTCAGTCCTTGCTCTGGCAAGAGCAGCAGAATGCTGATCAATGATACCTTGATCATTGCTTGACTTAGTGGCGGCTTCACTCTCAAGCTGCTTAAGATTGTTCTGAAGGACGGTATACTCATGACGCAATTGTGCCACCTTGGATGTGGCTTGGGAACTGAGTATGTTGATTTCCTCCCCATGAGCCTCCCCTATGGCTCCTACAATTTCCCTATGGCGCGCCTCTGCGGCCATGGCAACGGCTGGCCCAGTGTCGGCGTTGACGTGAATGTCAACCTGGCTCAGCGCCAATTGCCTTGCGTCGATTTGATTCACCTGGAGCTGCCTACGGTCTATGTTCTGGGCATTGAACATCGGAGAGAACACTGAAGGAGCTCTCTCTGTCGGTGAGTATGCTGGGGTGCTTAGCCCTGGAACCATGTTCCAAGAGTTCATGGAGCCTAGACCTGGAACATTACCAGTGGCAAGGCGTTGCTCGCTAACTGCTCCAACGTGCATGATTCTTGGATCGTTCTGGGCTGCAAGCATTGCCAAGTTCTCTTGGCTGAGCGGCATAACCTCACCATCCCTGGGAGGGTTTGTCGATACAGCTGTAGGTTCCCCTACAACGGGGTTGCTAAGCAGTGACATTGTTTCATCCTCCACAGGTACGGGGATTGCTGCAGCATTTCCGGGAGATTGCCCTTCCATGACACCGGCAGGTAGTGTTAGAGTCTACGGCTGATAACCTATTGTTACCAGCGGAAAGCCCTAAACTCAACAAGTACAGTGCAACGCACTTTTTGTCTTGAGCCAATGAAAGTAGCGTAAGTATGATGATACAGCTGATATCTTGAAGCATCGACATTAGGGTTTAGGGTTTAGGGTTTAGGGTTTAGGGTTTAGGGTTTAGGGTTTAGGGTTTAGGGTTTAGGGTTTAGGGTTTAGGTAAAACTTTTGGTTCTGCACGAGAAGGGGCCTGGGATAGCTGCAAGGTGCCAAGGCCGTACATCCCTAACTGTAGTCTCCTTCTCATACAAATCCACAACCCATCGCCCCCTGATGCTGCACCATGACCATTAAGACTTAATGGTCATGTGCAGCATCAGGGGGCGATGGGTTGTGGAATCATTAAGGTACACTACCGTACGACCGTACAGCACGGTACAGCATCAGCATCTGCATCTGTATCATGAACTGGGAATGCTGAATGCTAAGGGTGGGGGTGGTGGATGGGTCGGGTCGAACAGGACCCTCAACCACCCAAAACACAAACACTTAAGCTATGGGTCGGGGTTCTGTAGTTGAGGGCTCGCCTCTTGCAAGGCCGGCGACGACGACTTGCCAGCTTCCTGATCGCGCACGCGCGGGGTTTGGGGGTTCTAGGGTTTAGGTGTGGAGTTTTGAAGGTTCGGGGGTGTGGAGTGTAGGGTTTTGGGTTTGCTGTAGCACTGTACATGGCGCTTGTCGACCGATATATTGGACTTCCGGAGGCTTCTTTCTGAGCCTTACGGCAAAGCTTCCGGCGGCAGGAAACGTGCGGGAGCGCGATCAAGATGAACGCAGACTCACGGCGTTCCCCACCCGAGACCCCCACAACCCCATGAGCCCCGAAATCAACCACCTACATTTGGGTTTAGGGTTTGGGGTTTGGGGTTTGGGGTATAGGGTTTATTTTGGCAAGCCCTAAACCCTAAACTCTAAACCCTCAACCCTAGACCCGGAACCCTGTAACCCCAGCCAGAGCCCACCGCGCCTTGCCGCGGACCCGCGAGGAGATTTCGCCAATGGCCTGCAGCGCAACGCTCCGCAACCCTAAACCCTGGGGTTTAGGGTTTAGGGGTTTAGGGTTTAGGGGTTAGGGGTTTAGGGTTTAGTGTTTAGGGCTTAGGTACCTCAACAAAGTCAAGGTAATCATATGCCATAAGCTCACAGGGAAGAAGGTCTCCCAGCTTGGGGGACACTAGGGGGTTTCAGCCATCCGCAATCTGAACCCCAAGCGTTAAGCCATGAGAACCAGCGGGCACCCCTGGAATGGCCTTCTCCTTCTTGCTGATCTCCTGGCGCTGGATGCAGGGAGGAGTGGGTTCGGGGTGCGGGGGTTTAGGGTTCAGGCTGGCTGAGTTTTCCAACAACCCCCACCGGGGACAACTCCCTGCGCGGCTGCACCGCCTGGACTGCCAAAAGTTGCCCCCCCCCCCCCCACCCACATTTTCTCTTTCAGGAGGGCCTTCTGCCCCACGAGGGCCTACACCTTGTCAACCCTGAACCCTAAACCCTAAAACTTGCAAACCCTAAACCCGACAACTTGCAAACCCTAAGCACCCAAAGTACCCTAAACCCTAAGCTCTAAACCTTAAAACCCCAAAGTCGAGGAAGGGTCCAGCAAGGTGCTGCCAAAGCTCCTGCTGCATTCGGTGCAGCTTGGCCAAGGCCTCCGAGTTCATGTTGGACCTGGGAGCAGCTAGGGTTAGGGTAGGGTTTAGGGTTTAGGGTTTAGGGGTTAGGGGTTAGGGGTTAGGGGTTTGGGGTTAGGGGTTAGGGGTTTAGGGTTTTGGGTTTAGGGGTTATAAGGGATTTAGGGGTTAGGGTTCAGGCTTAGGGTTTAGGCTTAGGGTTCAGGACCTGGAGCAGCTGGCCAGGGTTTGGGATTTAGGGTTTAGGGTTCTGCTTCAGGGGTTAGGAGTTAGGGTGTGAGGGTTTGAGGGTTTAAGGGATTAAGGGTTTAGGGTTTAGGGGGTTTAGGGTTTAGGGGGTTTAGGGTTTAGGGTCTAGGGTTTAGGGTTTAGGGTTTAGGGTTTAGGGTTTAGGGTTTACGTTTCGGTTCGGGTTTGGGGGGGTTGAGGGTTCGCGGGGTGCGAAGAAGTCCAAGATCCCCAAGCCGCCCTGGAGACGCGATCCCGTATGATAACCCTAAACCCTAAACCCTAAACCCTAAACCCTAAACCCTAAACCCTAAACCCTAAACCCTAAACCCTAAACCAGAGGAGGGACCCGAATTTAGGGAACCGACCTTTTCGGATAAGGGTGTAGCTCGGGTGTCAATAGAGACTCTCCCAAAACTTAGGGTCCACAATTTAGGAACTCCACCTTGGAGGTTAACGTACCCTCAAAGCCTTAATGTAGGAGCCTTAATAATTCCGGGCTTGGGGGGAAATTTATAGTATATCTATATAGGGACCGTAAGGGAATACCATTAGTACCTCCGACCCCTATGTTAAACCTTCAACTTTTCCGGGCACAGCTGGGCGCGGGGCGTTAGCAGGCCTTTGCTGCCTGGGAAGGGTTGGGATGGAGTTGTGGGGGTTTCCGGAGTCTAGGGTAATGGGGTTAGACGGCGATGCAATTTTGGGGGAGCGTGGAAGGTTGGAATTTGCGTACAGTTCCCAAAGAACGCGTGCACCCCTTGGCTATAAGCCCTATGATCCCTCAGCCCAATTTCGTTATGAGTTGGCTCGAGCCCATGGAGCGAAAACCCAAACAAACTATGAACGTCGACGGCTTCGAGTTCCCAATTTCCGTGTTGGACTGGTGGAGACGTAAGCCTGCAGAACCCCCTTAGAATCCCAAAGACCTAGAGTCTAATCCAACCGATAGCCTCTGGAAGCAACTTTGGCTATCGTTGCCTAAACCCAATAAACCCTAAACCCAACTTCCAGGTAAACTGCTGGCAAGGCGCTTTCCAATGCTGAGGCCAGTTCGCCTGAGCATCGAGGAGGGCTATGAAGGCCCCAACATGCAAAGCCCCATCTTGTTTTAATCATTGTATCTGTATGTCCTGAAATCAGTATAGCATATTCTGGCATTATTTCATGAGACGATTATTTTGTATATTGTTGTACTCTACGATTGTACTTAAAACATGCTATGTAAGTAGTATATGATATCGTAACACATCATATTCTACCCCCCCCCCCCCCCCGCCCCCCCCACCCCCCCCCCCCCCCCCCCACCCTCCCCCCCACCCCCCCCCCCCCCCCACCGAAAGCCTTGAAGCCCGCTGCCACCCGAGGCCACGGCGAGTGGTCATCCGCGGGCGCTCGTCGGAGCCGACCGTCGACTCCCTGAGGCCTCCCGGAGGAGTGAAGTCATTGCGACGTCTGTGGGGTTTAGGGTTTAGGGTTTAGGGTTTAGGGTTTAGGGTTTAGGGTTTAGGGTTTAGGGTTTAGGGTTTAGGGTTTAGGGTTTGGGGTTTGGGGTTTGGGGTTTGGGGTTTGGGGTTTGGGGTCTAGAGTCCAGGGCTGAGGGTTTGAAACAGATTTTTGTCTCCACGCATTTACTAGTTGGCCCAGATCTAGTAGTTGAAAAGATACGGCTTCCCGAACCCCCCCCCCCCCCAAGGGTTCGGTCGGCTTAGTGAGTGTTCAGGGTTGAGGGCTTTGGGTTTGGGATTCCCAAGTCCGCATGGACCTCGGAGCCCTGGTTTCATTCAACCTCCCCCCGTCGCCCCACTCGGAGCATTCTCACCACACTTATGACTGAACTACGTATACTGAACGCAAGAGGAGGCTTTTTGAAAGGTGAACTATGTATACTGACGCAAGAGGAGGCTTTTTGAAAGGGGAAGGGGGAGGGGGGTGAGGAAGATTTCTCTTGTAGGTCGGGTTCTCGTTAGGGATAGGGCTTCGGGGTCTCGGGTCCGAATTTTGTTCAAAAGTTTAGGGTTTAGGGTTCTAGTTGGGTTTAGGGTTCAGGGTTCTAGTTGGGTTTGGGGTTTAGGGTGCTAGTTGGGTTTTGGGGTTTAGGGTGATGGCGTAGTTGGGCGTAAGGAGGCTGCGCTTCTCTTCCCGGCCTGGCTTGACTTCATGTTCGGGAGACGCAGCGAAACACACTTGCCTCGGCCGCTCCACCAAACCCACCTGAGCCCTGAACCGCCCTGAACCAACCTGAAACCTCCCTAAACCCTAAACCCTAAACCTTAAACCCTAAACCCTAAGTCTAAAGCTACAGTCTATATTTCCTCGCTACAAGCCCTCGGGGACTGGGGCCGCTTCGACATCTTGACCGCCGCTGCGTCAGAGTCCTGGAAGCCCCCGGGAAGTGCCCAAAGAGCCCAATACCCCTTAACTAAGGAATATTCCGTAGATTATATAGAGATCCTGAATACGATGTAAGCTATATTCCTGAATTAAGGGGTTTGGGGCTCTTTGGGTGCTGGCAAAGAAGAGCCGCATCGTGAGTCTGAAGAGGCCGTGAAGGCTCATGCAGATGTGGGTTTAGGGTTTAGGGGTTTGGGGGCTTAGGGGTTTAGGGGGTTGAGGGGTTTAGGGGTTTAGGGGTTTAAGGGTTTAGGGGTTTAGGGGTTCAGGGGTTCAGGGGTTTAGGGGTTTAGGGGTTTAGGGGTTTAGGGGCTTAGGGGTTTAGGGGCTTAGGGGTTTAGGGTATAGGAAGACTCATGCAAATGCTGGGCAGCGCATGATGAGCGATGCCCGGAACGGCCTTCTGCTCAGTGAGCAGATCTTGAGCGATGTCCTCAATGACCTCGGCCACGGCTGTCAGACAAGGTTCATGCATGCTGCATGGGACAGGCATCTACACAATGGCCACAGCCCCGCACCAGCAAGCTCGAATGGTATCGTCAAAAGTGTGATCATTGCCTTTAAACGCTAAGAGTCCGAGTGCTGAGGGCAAACATGGGTGTGGTTGGGCAGATTGCAGCTTGAGCGGAGAAACCTGCTCCCTCTTCCCAGGCTCACAACCCCTTTCAACCAGCCTTGACGAAGAAGAAACACCCACGATCCCACATGACTGTACGGACCGAGGCCCCAAAATCCAAAAAGGTCCGCTGAAGTCCCTGAGGCCCAAGAGCTTTCAAAAAAACGCAGCCCCAACCACCTAACAGCCCTACAGCCTCACACCCTGCATGCCCCCCCCCCAAAAAAAAAACACCCCTAAGCCCTCAACCAACAAAAAAGTCCGCTTGCCTCAACCCCGCAAGCCCTCCCGATTGCTTTAGGGTTTTTTTTTAAACTTTAAAAACCCATTTAGGGTTCTTTAAGCAGTTTTAAACGTTAAAAAAACCTAAGTCCGAATCTTCCGGGCCCGCGGCGGCAGCGAGAGCTCGTGGCTCGGCAGCCGCAGTCTGCAGGCCGAGGGGGTCCCCAAATCCCACAAAGCCCAGCCCGAACTTCAGAATTCCTCCCGAAGAACAGCCTTCTTACACAAACAATATCAAAATACATATATCTATATGGGTGGCTGTCAAAAAATTGATGATCCCTTTTTGGGGTACCCTAAATATTAGGTGCCGTATTATGATAGGGATCCCAAAAGGGACGCCCCTTTGTGACAACCACCCATATATCTGGAAAGGCATCGTCCAGGGATCGGGGTTGGCTTCGGGACTTCGAACACGGTCTCGGGCGCTTGCTAAATTGACTATGTGTTTCCAGGCGAGGCCCAAGCATGTCCTGAAACCTTTGTTCCTTACTAATTTTGGTTCTACTGCTACTTCTTTCCTATGCTTGTTATATTCTTGTATTCTCAGAGTCTTCTTATTCTACGGCTATACCATTAGTATTCTCTGCTACCAATAGATCCCAGACCCCTTAACTGGCATCATAAGAATCTTCCTGAACCTTGACCCCTACGATACGAGTTTGACACTTAGCAAGTCTCTGAGAAGTCTGACAGCAGATGGCAGCAAGGACGGTGGCTTCCGCAGACCCCAAGAGACCAGAGCCCTTAGACCTTGAGGGTTTGAGGGTCTGGGTGAGACCAACAACAAAGCCGTAAAGCCTCAAACCCAGAAGAACTCCACACACCAAGAACCCTGAAACCCTAAGACCCTGAAACCCTACAAAAAAACCCCAAAACCCTCATAAACCCTCAAGAACCCTCATAAACCCTCAAAGACCCTCAAAACCCTGAAAGCAGCAACAGCTGCGGCAGGAATCGCTAAAAGTTGGCACCTTCAGGGCTTCGGCTTCCACGAGGGAGGCCTTCCAGGGAGCTGAGGGCTTCAGGGTCTTAGAGCTTCTGAGGGTTTGGAGGGTTTTAGGGTTGTGATAAGGGTTTTAGGGTTGATAAGGGTTTCTGCAGTTTCAGGGAGTTTAGGGTTTAGGGCTTTAGGGTTTATAGAGAGTTTCAGGGTGTAGGGCTGACGGCGTTTTGGGGTTTAGGGTTTCGGGGGTGAGGGTTTGGGGTTTTGGGGGGCTTGGTCGGAGACTGGCTCTCTTGATCTTTAGTGTTTAGGGGTTTAGGGGTTTAGGGGTTTAGGGGTTGAGGGGTTGAGGGGTTGAGGGGTTTAGGGGTTTAGGGGTTTAAGGTTTTAGGGGTTTAGGGGTTTAGGGGTCTGGGTTTTGGCTGGGGTTTTCTAAGTGCTCACGCGTTGAGGGTTGCAGGGTTGAGGGAGTAATGCGCAGGTTTTCGCGGCTTGAGGACATAGGGTTTAAGCTCGAAGGGCTCGGGAACTTAGAGCTCTAGGGTTTCAGGGTTTACAGTAGGGGGTGAGGGTCAGGGTTTTGGGTTTGGACATCGGAGTTTAGGCAGCAGTCCCTGCCTTCAGGCGCGCGATCTCCAAGCGCAGCTCATTCTCTTTCTTGTCCAGCTCCTGGTCTCTCGGTTTTAGGCTCGGGGCTCCCACCTCTGGAGGCGCGCTGTCGGTCAGAAAAAACGAACCCCAACCCCAAACGCTCAATCGAGTTAACCACAAACCGCTAAAAGCCCTTCAGCCCTAAACCTGAAAAGCGCTTGAACCCCGAAAATTATGAGCATGATCATCGTTACCATGATCATATAGCATAACAATACCATCTATGCAATTCTACACTGGCATAGTAGCATGATAACAGAACATAACAATATAACACCATAAAACAGCCGAATAATTCTTCTGATTGTCAACAGGCAGAAAAATTTAACGATAAGTAAGTGTAACTCAGGAAGTAGTCATGGCTATGATTGTATTTAGCAAACAACTTAAGACAATGACAGCAGCGATGAACACTATTCAAGTTGGGCCTGCGCGTGCAGTGCAGCCAGCTGGGAGAGCGCTTCATCGAAACCCAGGGCCTGGCTCAGGGTGTTGAGGGTGTTGAGGTCGGGGTTGAGGGCTGAGGGCTGAGGGTTGAGGGTTGAGGGTTGAGGGTTCAGGGTTGAGGGTTGAGGGTTGAGGGTTGAGGGTTCAGGGTTGAAGGTTTAGGGTTTCATCAGGGTTTAGGGTGAAGGTTGGGATCCGAAGGAAAATGGCGGATGGGGAATAGATGGTGAATGGGGGTTTGAGGGGGTTTGAGGGGGTTCGGGGGCTCGGGTGTTGGGATTGTTGGGGGTGAAGGCCGCTGAGCATCGTTGGGTTTTTCTTCGCCTCTTTCGAGCGGTGTCAAAAACCCATGCCCGGATTTCTACGTGGAACTTTTCGGCTGACGCGTGCGCGCGCCAAGGCATTAGCTTCCGTAGCTTGGTTTCCAGGCCTGTTTGCTTCACGCGGGCTTATGTGGGCTTATGCGGTCAGCGCCGTTAACATCCCCTGTTATTGACAAGCCTCCGTCAAGCAAACGCACTGCTTTGACAAGCGCAATTTGAATGCCCCCCCCCCCCCGCTGAGGGAGGCTCTGTATCGAACCCTACACCCTGAACCCTAGGGCATCACGGTGTTGTGGTTGGGTTTGGAACTTTGGTGGGGTGGTTGGTCTTCGGGGCTTCTGCGATCTGAGAGCTTAGAGCTTATGGTTCCAAGGGCTCAAGGGCTTAGGTTGAAAGGGTTGAAGGCAACAGGGTTTCAGGGCCGCAGGGTTTTTTGGATAGTGCCTGGTTGCATCCTCGTCAAGACTTGGCAAAAACAGCATCGCACATCCCACGACGCCGAAGAACGCTGGAATGACAGCAAGCGGCCCACACAGACCAAGCTGCCCAAATCCCAAGACTTCAAGCACATTCAAGCATGAGGCTTTTAGGGGCTACAAGCGCGTTCGGGTTGAGGGGTAGGCGTTGTTGGGCTTGGGGGCATTGAAGGGCTCTCGGAAACATTTGGGGCGGAAAGAGCTTATTACCCAAGACCCCGTAAGGCCAGAGACCTCAATAAAACCCGTCATCCAAGCAACCGTTTACAATAATGATAGCAACAGTAGTCTGTGCTGGTGATGGTTACTAATAATGCTCGTAGTATTGGTAGTAGCACTAATTGTATTTATGGTGATAAGAGCGGCCATGGAAATAACAGGAATAGCGTTGCCAATAGAAATAACTTTCATCAGAAGAGTATTCAATCAGAGCAATGATAACAGAAACAACATATGTTCATCTGCAGATGGGGATCCTGATTTGGTTTACGGAATCCTCCTTAACTTAACACGGATGGCCCTTAAAACCCACTGAAAAATATTCCTGCATATGATCCTGCTAAACCCAATCAGAGAAACTAAAACAATGTCCCAAGGGCCTTCCGAGTAAAGGGTAAGCGCTAGTGGAGTCTCTGGGGGGCTTGAAGCAACACGCCAGCGGGTCCTGCACGGCCAATGCCATGGGCCCAAGTCCTCCAGTTTGTGACAGTTGGGAGGGGACTAGGGCAGGGTTCAGGGTGGAGAAACAGCCGTCGTCTGGAGGGCTGTACATGCTTTTTGGAGAGCAAGGTGTCTTGAAATGGGCATAGCGAGAGTGACGGCTGCATAGCTGGTGCAACTCATGGAAAGCTCCTTTGAAGGCACAGGCGTCAAAACTCCAGCTGGGCGCCCCACCTGTGTACCAGGTCGGCCGCGGAGATGTTGGAGGAGACCAGCGGAGCTAGACACGCGCCCAAACAACACGTTGATCTGTGGGTATCCATCAACCAGAACCAACTTAACATGCAGCCGGGGCATGTCGACATGAAGGGCACCCGCAATGCTGGACACCCCCCCTATCATTCATACATGCAAACTTGGACAGCTACGCGCGAATGGCTGTCGGGCCGTCACACGGTGCGGAGGGCACACGCTCGCAAAGCTAGCAGAGTTGAGGACCTGCTCCTCTCGACTTGACATGCTGGGCCTCGAGGACCTTCGTCTCATTTGTCAACACTGCACATCCCCTCGAAAGATGGCCACATGCACATGAGCCCCTAGCGAGGGTGTTAGGATCCTCTTGTGGACGGCATCATAAGGTTGAACATAATTCTTGACCATCGTTACACACCGTCTCCTGCACCCCAACTAGGGGCGCACATGCGAGATGCGCGGGCCACGCTTTGGCTTGACCAGGGGGGGCCCGGGACATGTGGGCTCAAATTCCAGGCGGCCACGTGGTATTTCACGCAGCAACCCAGGAAAGATCCCGACGCTGCTCTTGAGAAGAAGGGAGCCACTGCTACATGCATGGGTGCTCTGCATCCCGTTGCACGAGGAGGCAGAAGCTAAAGTCTGCAGGAGCACCATCGGTGGGATGAGCTTCAGCCGCCCTTCAAGCGCTTACCCGTTGTCAGAGCCTTGGTAGACAGGGAGCAGTCATGTGGGGCGGAGGCAAGACACAGCTGACAGCAGCTCGTTCTGGGTTGACAGCCTTCATAACCTACCCCGAACCCCAAACCCAACCTCCCCCACCCCCCACCCCCTCCCCCTAAACACTAAACCCTAAACCCTAAACCCTAAACCCACAAAAAGAAGCAGCTCTCAGCTCTCACTGCCCGAGCCGGGCTTCGCACTGGCCAGCTTCGACTCGCTGCGAGACTCGCGCCTCGGAGATGGGCTCGGCTTGGAAAAAGAAGAAGCAAGGGTTAGGGTTTAGGGTTTAGGGTTTAGGGTTTAGGGTTTAGGGTTTAGGGTTTAGGGTTTAGGGTTTAGGGTTTAGGGTCTAGGGTCTAGGGTTTAGGGTTTCGGGTTTAGGGTTTAGGGTTTAGGGTTTAGGGTTTAGGGTTTAGGGTTTAGGGTTTAGGGTTTAGGGTTTAGGGTTTAGGGTTTAGGGTTTAGGGTTTAGGGTTTAGGGTTTAGGGTTTAGGGTTTAGGGTTTAGGGTCAGGGTGAACAGGGTCTGTTCGTTGACAGGGCTTACAGGGTTTACGGCCGCGGCCTAAAACGGCCTAAACCCCAAGCCCTAAACCCTAGCCCTTTCCACCAAACCACCGAACCCTGAAAACTCTGACACCCAAGTCGGAGACCTGGGCTCTGATCCGATGGCGGCGCGAAGCTTAGCCACCTGCGCCTGGCGAGCTCCCGGGCGAAGCTTCCGATTTTTAGGAGCCCGGAGCCTGCTTGATGGGTATTTTTTGGGGGAGATTCCACCATCTACTTGGGAGATACAAGGGGGAGGAGCCTTTTTGATGTTTTTTTTGGGGGGATACTATTTTTCTACGCATTAAAAAATAGTGTCCAGCTGCAACAGTTTGATGGGTTTGTTGGGGGAGATTCTGCCCATCTACTTGGGGAGATGTAAAAAAAAGGGGGGGAGCAGCCCTTAGCTTTTGCCACGTTCCTGCAACTCTCAAAAATTCCCCAAGGCCGCCTCCCGCTCCTCGATGTTCTTCTGAAGGCCTCGGCGGCCAACAGCGGCGTGTCGCTGAGTTCTGGGCCCCTTCTCTTGCAAGAAGCTCCAGGCTGTACCATAAATGCAGAGCGAACCAAGAACAGGCCTGGAACATAGATTCAAGCCCCAGGGCATCACTAGGAAGCAGGCCGCCAGCGAGCTGATTTACTGCAAGCTTTTGATAGGGTTGAGGAGTTTAGGGTTTAGGGTTTAAAGTTTAGGGTTTAGGGTTTAGGGTTTAGGGTTTATAAGGCTGTTGGAGCAACTTTAGGCGAGGCGCTCTGGACGTGTGCGGCTGCAAACTCCACCTGCGACGCAGGGCATTTGCATGACCATTTGGGAGCTGGTCTCGTGGCGATGGAACCCTGAATCGCTACGCAATTATCCGTGGAATTGCATGCGGTGGCCTCTTGGCTGTCCTCTTTCAGCATCGCACGATGCCTGGCAGAATGTGGACGAAGTGTGCATGGCACAGTCGTGTGTCAACGTAGGAAGATGATGGGCTGCCACGATGCGCCGAGCGGCTTTCTCTCGTCTTGCCGAAGGGCACCACGCAAGATGTCCACTTCGCGACCTGCTGGAGGTCCACGGGGAGAGGTGGGGTGCAACCGACATCAAGCACGCCCCTCTTCGCGCAACGAATGCTCCTCAACCCGAAACCCTAAACCCTAAACCCTGCACCCTAAACCCTAGAAAGCCCTACAAAGCCCCTACAAAGCCTAAAGGCAATGGTGGGGCCCTGCTGGGTCGCAGGCGCAGCTGCTCCAGCACAGATTGACCACCTTGTGGGCAGCGCGTGAATTGAAGCTGAATGCTCCTAGACCCAGCAGCCCCAACGTCTCCCACCTTGGCATTAGGGTTTAGGGTGTAGGGTCAGGGTTCAGGGTTTGGGGTTCCGGGTTTAGGGTTTCGGGTTTAGGGTTACTTTAGGGCCCAAAACCCGGCAACCCAACGCCCTTTAGTTTGATGGCCAAACTGACGCCCCTGAAGCCCCCCAAACCCAGGAACCCTAACTTCAAACCCTGAAGTAAGGAAACCTTGAAACCCAAGGGTCTCGAAACCTGACAGGTCTCGCACCTTTCTCCTGTCCGGTGGGGCCTTTCCGATGCAGGAGAGCCGCCTGGCCGAGATGGGCTGGTTTGGAGGCTTTCGGGCTGATAGGCTTGGGTTTAGGCCTTATAGACTTTTGGGGTTTTGGACGGTTTTTTTTTTTTTTTTTGGGGGGGGGGGGGGGGGAGTTCTACTCGCCAACCCTAGGCTCTCAAGCCCGAGGGTCTTCCGCTCTCTCCGAAACCCTTCTTCCTACAGCCTGGCAACTCCTCATGCTCCATTATAGACCTCCCGAAATCCACCCCATAGCAACGCCAAGGAGACCAGGACCTTAAACAAAACACTACAAAGAAACGAACCCTGAGATTCCCAGCACTGAACCCCTCCGCCCCTGCACCCAAGTCGGGCCGCCAAAAAAACGCGCCTTGCTTCGGAGTTCGCTGCCCACCTTCCTCATAGGCGGGACCAGTTCAGGGCTCATAGGGCTCATGGGGTCGTAGGGCTTCGGATGGTTTAGGGCTTAGGATGGTTCAGTGCCTGCACCCCCCCCCCCAAGTACCTCGGACCCAGCAGGGGTACCTCATTGGGGTTGGGATTTTGGCTCTTGGGTTGGCCTTCTTTTTAGACTCTCCTAAAGATGATCATGAGTTTATGGGTCCCTTATAAGCCCATGTTTAGGAACATCGGGTGAGTGTACACAAAAGCACACAAGCAACCTGCGACTTGACTCGCACTTGAGCGAAAGCCCTAGAACCTACACTTCCCGCACACATTAAGCGTAGAAGGGCCTGATCTCTTCTTCGATGGTCTTCCGCTGGTTGGACAGCTTCAGCCTCCCGTGCAGGGTTGCGGTTTGACAGGGTCGGGGCCTGGGTCCCTTGAGACATAAACCTCCGTTCGCCGCAGGCCTGTCCGCTTGCAGCTTCACGTTCAACCGCTTCTGCTGCTCCACCTGGACAGAGGCTGAAACCCTAGACCCCAAACCTAAACCCCAGACCCCAAATCCGAAACCCAAGAACCCCAAACCTGAGGGCGACAGGGCTTAGAAACCCATCACCCATAAACCCTCTAGACCCCTTCAGTCCTCCCCCCAAGGCTCATGAATCCCCATAAAAAGCCCACAACGAATTATGGCGTAGGCCCCAAACAATGACAGACCACGGGGACACGAACATCCCAATGGATCAAACGTCCGCAGGACACCAAGAGCCAAGTCCCCTTGATGAAGGAATGCACATTTAGTTCGGGTTCCTTCATCTGAGGCACATATTTCGGGGTCCTTCATCTGGTATATGCCTGAATTAAGGCGTCTTGGGCTCTTTGGGACACTGAAAGCTAGGGGCGTCAGCGGGGCTTCATCGACCCACCCGCACTCACTCTTCAAGTGCACCCCTTAGTGTGGACCCACTGCTTGGGGGAAGAGATATACACCAAACTCTACCCCTGCAAGAAAGATCCCTGCCTTATGAAACCCCTCAATAAAGAAACCCCTCATTGCAAAATAACTCTTCAGCGAAAGAAGCATATGAAACGCCTCATTACCCAAAATCTCGTTAAGCCCTAAACCCTAAACCCTAGACCCTAAACGCTAAACCCTAAACCCTAAAACACATAAGAACACTCTAGGAACCTCCCCCAAAAAAATGGCAAAAAGTTGCTCCCGGCCTCCGCCTTCGCCTTCTGGAGCTGCTCTTCGATCTCCGGCCGCACAGCGCTTTGGGCGCTCTCGGCCTTCCGCTGCACCTTTGGACATTGGGCATTGAGGAAGAGCAGGGGGGAGGGGGGCTTTAGGATTAGGGTTTTAGGGTTTCAGGTTTCAGGGTTTTCCGGTTTGGGGTTTGGGGTTTAGGGTCTTCGCCTCGGCCTCCGGCCGAGAGGCGGTCTTCCCCCTTCCCACCCCTTCTCCAAAATCCCCCCCCCACCCTGCAAAACCTGCCAGTTTCGCCTGCGGGTTTGCAAACCGACGCTGTGGGAGGCCTGGCCTGTGGGCCAAGCCCGACTGCGAAGCCCAAGGAAAAAAAAAAAAACCTTGTCGGAGCGATGGGACTTTGTTCTGGGACCTCCTTGGACCTTCTTGGGACACAATTTCCCTCTTGTACGTCCCCTCAGCTCCCTTACCCTGCTGATGCAAAGCCCGCGGTCGCGTTCCGTGGTCCGTGGCTTGGGCCGGACTGGCTGCCGAGGCGGCGCGCGCAAGCGTTTACAACTAGATTTAGGGTTTAGGGTGTTTTAGGGTATTGGGAGTATCTGGGGTATTTGGGGTCATTTGGGGTTTAGGATGTTTAGGGTATGAAGGGTTCGGAGAGCTTTGGGCTGATACGCAGGTTTAGGGGGTTCAGGAGTCTGATTGCAAAAGCAATGCTGGGCCCTCTCAGAAGCCGAAACGCTACCCATCTGCCTCGGCTGCGTGTTCGAGCCCTTCGCTGGTTCGCTGCAGTTGCTGCAACTCCTCTCAGAGGGCTCAGCGTGGCGACTGGAATCCGACAGCTTCTTAGACGCAAGCCTATGCCTACACCCCCCCCCCCAGCTGTACTTAGGGCCCCTCAACAGCAAGGCCCGAGCTCGACATGTTGGAAAGTCACGGGCTGTTGTGATGCGACTGCTTCGGTTCTTTTAATGGTCTGGGCTTAGGTTTCGGCAGAATACATGTTCGTGTGGATGGAGCTTCTCGTTTGAGGGTTTTGGGGCTTGCAGGGTCTACTGCATGGGTGCTTTAAGGAAGCCCAACACATTAACAAACTATTTCTCATGGTCCCTGAATATCCTGAAAATACCTACTCTCATTGAAGAGGCCTCGACCTATATGGGTAGTTCACGAAATTGGGGTCCCTTTTTGGGTCCATATAATACGGTACAGGGTTATTAGGACCCCCCAAAAGGGACCCTGATTTGGGGACCCTAAACCCTAAACCCTAAACCCTCCTTTCAAGCGCACAGACGCTCCTTCCGTCGCTCTGCGAGGAGGTTGTACAGCCTCGGGCCAAGACACGCTACTCGCCGTCACCGCTCACCCTGGCAAGTCGCCCTTCTGATGATTCTAAGTAGGCTTATGATCAATAGTGCTATACTATGCTAATGCTATACTATGCTTATGATGAATAGTGCTATACTATGCTTATGATGAATAGTGCTATACCATTTCCTGATAAGTCGATATACCGACTTCAGCATAATTTTGCTTACTACATGATTACTATGATCGCTTTGTGTGATTAAATTACATTCTCTACTCCGGTATTCGACTTCCGGCGAAGCTTCAGAGCCACCCCCCCCACTCTTAGGAGCCCTCGAGCCCGGCATCCCAAAAGAGGCCACAAAAACTAGGCGGCCGAAGCCCCCAAAGCCTGAACACCCGCCCCATAAGAAGAATCCCTAAGCCCCAAGTCTTAACACAACAGTCTTATCAAACACACACACACACACATACACACACCAAAAAAGAAAAAATACGTTGACATGCGTACACATATATGTATACATATGCACATAGACAAATAGCATTCTTAAAAGACACAAATGGGCTCCCGGACCCTCCATCCTGATCCCGTTTTTGTTGTCTGGGCCCCGCCACTCCATGGGGTCCTTGTCCCGGGCGTCCCAGGGATTCGACATCTGGCCTTGGGCGCTCTGGGGCTCTTGGGGTGGGGGGGGCGGGGTCCTTTAGGGCCTGGGTTCTTCAAGGGTTCGGGGCCGGGGTTCTAGGGGCTCTTCGGCGTCGGAAGGGCGCGCGCAGCTCGAGAAATGTCGAGCTCCCGGGTTTGAGGTTGTTGGTGGAGGGTTTTGCGGGGGGGATATGTTGGGCGTCCCTAAAACATCCCAAGGCCCACCTAGAAAAGGGGGACCACAAGTTAGAGCCTGCCTGAAGTTAAGGAAGTGGCCATGTGGGTCTTTTTTTTTGCAGGGGCGTAAGGTTTAGGGTTGAGAAGCCTCGGGTTTGGTGGTTTTAGCGTTCAGGGCATCGGGTTGAGGGAGTAGGGGGTATGGTGGTGCTTGGTTCGGTCCCACATCTTCTGTAGGCAGAACGCAGGGCCCCCATGATAGAACTGCAGGCTTCCTAATTCCCCAAACCCTCCAACCCTAAACCTTAAAGCCTAAACCCTACACCCTAGACCCCACAACCCTAAACCCTAAACAACCGTAAACCTTAAACCTGAAACCATAACTTGTGCTTCCCAGTTGCTGTGCCGATCCCTGTTTTCCAGCTCCTGTCGTGCTGTGGGCATTTGAGATGAGATGCTCAACAAGTGATATATACATACATACACAGCGTGTATATACATAATGTGCTAGAGTTCAGGGTTCATGGGGCCAGCGTCACCCTGAAACCTGAACCCGAGTTTAGACGCCGTCAGCCTAGAACACCGCAAGGCCCACATCTGCGGGGTTTGGGCTTTGGGTTCATAGGGTTTGTAGGGTTTATAGGTTTTAAAGGGTTTATAGGGTTTATAGGGTTTATAGGGTTTATAGGGTTTATAGGGTTTATAGGGTTTATAGGGTTTATAGGGTTTATAGGGTTTATAGGGTTTAGGGTTTAGGGATGCACTTGGGCACCATTGCAAGGCCTGCCGCATGCGCTTGATTTCACGCCGGTACCACTCTGCCTGATCTCAGACGGAGACTGGGGCATGGAGAGTGGCTACTTTTTTGAGTCCTGACCTGAGCTGCCGCACACCTCATGTTGGCAAACATAGGTCAGTGAGTTTCTAAAGGCTACGGCGCCACCACGTGCAAGACCAAGTGTTACGTTTGCAACACACTCCCCAGCCGACGCTCGTGTCACCCCCCCCCCCCTATTTAGTGCTCACAAGCCATGCGTTGCCAGTACTGAGCCTTGCCAGGCTCTGCACCGGCACTGTGAGTCCAGTTCAGGGGTGACTCAAGGCTGCAAACTCCTGACTTCTGGATGGCCCCAGACAGTTCAAAGCCCCCTGCAGATCCGAGACATGTTGCTTGGGAGCTTAGGGTTCTAAACCCAAGCCACAAATCCTGCACAGGACTCAACCCCAAACCCTATAAACCCCTAAACCCCCAAACCCTAAACCGCGCAAAAAAGCTCCCACAGAAAAAAAAAAAAACACGGGTTCCACCCTAAACCCTCTGAACCCTCTAAACCCCCCTAAACCCTCTGAACCCTCTAAACGCTCTGTACCCTCTAAACCCTCTAAACCCTCACTGCCTTCTCCAGAGCCTCCTCCATCTCCCGCTCACGCTCCGCTCGCCGAGGGTGGGGAGGCCTAACACTTTGGAGGGTTTAGAGGGTTTAGGGGGGTTAGGGTTTAGGGTTGGGAGGTTTAAGGTGCAAAGTTTGGGGTTTAGAGGGCTTAGGGTTTAGAGGGTTTGGGGTTTAGAGGGTTTAGGGTTTAGGGGGTTGAGGTTTGACCCTCCTCCGGGGCTCGCGCCGCGGTGCAAGGGGCTTGTTCGCAGCATCGCCGTGTAGCAGAAGCCGGGCCTCGGCGTTGGGTGTGGGTTTGATTCTGGGTTTAGGGCTTAGGGTTTAGGGTTTAGGGTTTAGGGTTTGATTCTGGGTTTAGGGCTTAGGGTTGAGGGTATTCCCGGTTTAGGGTTTAGGGTGTTTCTGGTACGAACTTGAAGTGACGAAAGCAAGAGCCCATCATGCAGACCCTTTCATTTAGGGTCTTAGATTTCGGAGGCAGGGTGGTGATGCATCCCCAACCCCACAAAACCCGGAAAAAAAAAAAAAAAAAAAAAACTCATGAGGTCCGCACGCGCTGCACCAGTTGCTCGATCTCTGAGCGGAGGCGTGCCGCCTCTGCCTAGGAATCAGCGAGAATCATCATCTTTCCCGTCTACAGCCCACATCATGCCCACGACATCCCTTCTATACCACATGCAAACCCCAAAGCCCTCATAACACTTAAACCCTCAACCCTGGCTCGCCCTCGGATGAACCTGCGACCAGCCCACCTGGTGCCTCTCAGCCGCATCGAGGCTCGCCATGGCAGCAGACCTCAGCGATGAGAACCCCGCCCCCCCCTACAAACGTTCAGGAGTTCAGTTTACTGAGACTATCTCGAATATCATACGTTTTTGGTGCCCTAAACCTACCCTAAACCGCCTAAGCTCAGCTTTTCTTGGGATATCCTAGATACGCGGTTCCCAGTAGAACTGCCATATCAGCATTCCTGAAGGCCGCGAAGCCTAGGTCTTCTGGGGACAATGTCCCCACCTCAAAGATCCCCGCCTCACAGCATGGCACTGGCCATCAGCCGCAAGCCAAAAGACACATGACCGTGGCGCCTAGGGCCTACTAGGCTACCGAAGGGGCTTTCTGGTTGACTTTGTTTGGGGGGAGGGATATTCGGAGTCCACGTTCGCGGGCTTGGCTCACACATTCCGGTTCTTGCTCATGGCCACCGGGCTACCTTCCTAGCATGTCTAGATCCGGCATCTGCCTCTGCCAAAGTCTTGCGTGACTGCTCCCAATCCATTCACTCCAGCTCGGGCCAAGCCAACACCGGCAGCGCCCAGCTTTAAGAGAGAAACCTCGGCATTCTAACCAACCAAAAGACCACCAAAAGTATGAAGCTCCAAGTTCAACCATAAGAGCGAAGCCCACTCCTTGAGGCTATGAAGCTCATAAACCCAGTCCCACACCCGAAGATCCCAGATGCCCAACGCTATCCAAGCCACAAGGGCCCGGAGTAGCTCTCCGATTCAAGCCAGAACTTACGGGAAAGCTACCCACGGCTGTAGAAGAGAGGTACCCCGACAAGGACCTACAATTCAGCCCAACCCGCTGAATACCCCCCAACTGCCCCCTAAACCCTAAACTGGCCCTAAACCCTAAGCCCGAAACCCTAAACCCTAAACCCCCCACCCCCCCACCCCCCCCCCCCTCAACAAAAAAAAAATGCATCTTTCACTTCACGGGCAGGGGTGGCCAAGCGCTTTGGTGGGCGCTGCGGGCGACGTCAGGCTCAGCCTTTTCGCTTGGCCTCCACGAAACCAGGGACTCATCTGAACAGGGATACGGTTTTGGACTTAGGGTACGTGGAGGTTTTGGGTTTAGGGTTTAAAGTTTAGGGTTTGGGGATACAGGGGCAACGGGTTTCGGGTCGGGGGTCACAAGGCAGGGGTTTAGTGAACCCTAAACCGATACCTTCATTTCCTCAAAACTCCAGGCCGACGGGCACGCAGAGGAGGCGCCTGCTCATTTTCCTGCATCATGGCATCCTGGCAGGGCGGGGGATAGGGGTCTGAATGGATTAGGGTTTAGGGTTCAGGGTTCAGGGTCTGTAGGGTCTGGGGCGCAGGTGGAGGATGTTGGGTTTAGGGTTCTTGTTTAGGGTCGCAAATGGTATTTGCCTAAGACTGAGGTTTAGGGGCGTTCTGGGCTTGCAAAGCTTAGGGTTGAGGAGGGCTCAACAAATCCGAAACTGCCTAAACAATTAGCCCAAGAGCACACTCCAAAGCTTCTTCAACCGGCCCGGCGCCCGCCTGCTCAGAGATATGGTGGAGCACGGCCCTCTTGCTCGACTCCTGCAGCCGTTTGAAGGCTGGTTCGGGGGGCCTCACCCGAAACCCTAAACCCTAAGCCCTAAACCCTAAGCCCTAAGCCCTAAGCCCTAAGCCCTCAGCCCTAAGCCCCAAGCCCTAAGCCCTAAGCCCTAGACAGGCCTTAAGGGGCCTGAGCTCAAGGGTGCCTCGAACTTCAACCGGATCGCGGAGCAATGTGACATTGGAAAGACAATGATGGGTGACACCAAACAGCCATCAAAGCAATAAGAATGACAGTAGATGACTGCTCAGAGCTGGATAGCAAGCAACAACGATAACAGCAACAATAACAATGCCATAGTAAGAAGAAGAAGACGAGGACGGAGACTGGCACTGAGCACCTGGAGTTCTCCGCTGATCAGAATCTCGTCCAGAATGTAATACGCCTGCCAGTTCGCCAACTTAGACTTTGGGTTTTAGGGGGTTTAGGGTGGAGGGTTTAGGGTTTAGGGTTTCGGGGTAAAGGTTTAGGGTTCAGGGTTTAGGGTTTCGGGGCCTATTCTTACCAGAACAGGTTGTCTGGTGGCTTCGGTTATGCTTCCTGCAAGAGGATGATCTTGACAATTCTAGCCCCCATGAATCATTAACCACTGAGCACGCCCAGCTGGTTTCTACGAGTCAATGAGCCGAAGGCCCCCTAAACCCCAAACCCTAAACCCTTCGCGCCTTGTGGAAGTTGAATATGAGGTCCAGCTCACAGACATTTCCAAAGTAGCGGTCGAGGCACTCCACGAAATGATGGACCTCAACTCCCACGTGGAGTTCAGAGGTTTAGGGGCTTAGATGTTTTAGGGTGCATGGGTTCAAGGGTTCAAGGGTTCAAGGGTTCAAGGGTTCAAGGGTTCAAGGGTTCGAGGGTTTGAGGGTTTGAGGGTTTGAGGGTTTGAGGGTTTGAGGGTTTAAGGGTTTAGGGCTTCGGGTGGCTTAGGAGGTAGGGGAATCCGTTAGGCTTTTATGTTCAACTGCCACGCAGTTCTCCAGTGTCGAGCTCGCGGCCGTCTCCAGGGCCAGTAGCTCATTGTCAGTGTTCTCCACACACGCAATGAAGAAGAGACTGGCGCAGCCAGCGTGCTGGTGGCTCTTCGTGTTGAGGGATGTCGTCAGCTTTCTACATTCTGGCCGTCCCTTGTAGGGTACTAAACATTACGTAAACCTCCAGATAAGCAAAGAAGAATGCAGGATTGGTCCTAGGCCCCGTGTCCGACTCTGCCTAGCCCGTTGCAGCGCCTAACTCCACTTCGGACGTACGTAGGCCTCAGTCCCTCCACCCAGTAGAACACATACCTCCACGGCCCGATTGAACTGCCACCTACACCCCGAGACAGAGTTCCGCCTGGCGTAGCGCTTGTAGCACAGCTTGTAGTCCCGCCACTCCAGGAAGTTGCAGACCTCGTGGGCCGGCTTGTAAGGGTTTCTAAGTTTTCTAAGGGCCGTTGCATGGTCTCTTGTGGGCCCTTACAAGGGTACCCCTTCTATAACCCCCCCTTATATACCCTGAACAAGTTAAGGGGCCGATACATCAGAACCCTTTAGCGAAGCCAAGGGACCATATTAAGCACCCGTGAAACTACCCCTAAGCCCGAAAACCCTGACCCACAAACCCAATGTGTTGAGGCTCCCACTTTTCACTCTCTGAGCCCATGGCTTTCGGAGATCTGTTCAGGATGAGGCTGCTCACCTGCCCACAGGGCTGCAGAATGCCCCGAACCCTCCATACGTCTCACCCAAAAATACTTTAGGGCCTAGGGTTTAGGGTGAAGGGTTTGGGATTTAGGGTGTGGTTTAGGGTTTAGGTTTAGGGTTTAGGGTTTAAGGTTTAGGGTTCCTGAACCCTCACCCTAAACCCACGAGGTCCGAAGCCCCAGCGAAGTGAACCATGCGACCTCCTTGATGGTCCTAAACTGATCGCGCTCGGCACAGGGCACGAACCACTTCTTCAGCCTGGCACAGCAAGACTTGGGCGTTGAGGCTTTGAGGGGTTTAGGGTTTCGGGGTTGAGGGTTGAGGGTTGAGGGTTTAGGGCAGGGGTTGAGAGGAGGGCGGGATGTTCAATCCCTCAAAGACCCGAAACTTGGCACGAACAAAAACCAAGCCCCCAAGGACACTAACCAAACAAAAAAAAAAAACGAAACCGAAAATCCGAGGATGGATTGCGGCCCGTCCTATGCCCAAGGGATTCAGACTCACTCACAATGCATCTCGGTTCACAGACTTTAGGGTTCAGGCTTGGGAGTTCGGAGGCTTGAGTGTGGCGGGGGGAGGCGTTGTCGAAGAGCAGCACGGGCTTTGCCGAGCTTGCAGCTCCCAAAGTAGTCAGGGTGGCCGTGTCTTTCCCTGCCGACTGATGAGGAGGATGAATTGGATCATCTGCGGCAGGCGAGAAGAACCCACAATCCCATCAAAAACTCCAAACTCACCCTTACTGGGCCACCCAATCCCCTGCTGAATTAGGGCACTTACCCCTCAAACTAACATGTCGTCATTCTGCCTCAGTGTGTCTAGTCCACAACTACAGCAACTAAAGGGTTTAGGGTTTGGGGTTAGGGTTTAGGGGTTAGGGTTTAGGGTTTAGGGTTTAGGGTTTAGGGTTTAGGGTTTAGGGTTTAGGGTTTAGGGTTTAGGGTTTAGGGTTTAGGGTCCCCATCCCAAGGTGCCTGTAGCTTCCGGCTTGTCCAGCGGGCCGGGGCTAACCTCTCTCCCTAACGGCTAACCCTATTTGCTTGAGCCTTCTTGGCCGCGGGAGTTGCGGGGTCTTCCGAGACATGGGCCCTAAACTCTAAACCCTAAACCCTAAACCCGAAAACCCGAGTTAAAACTCCAACTAAACCCTAACTAAGCCCTTTTTCCTAAACCCTGAAAGGCGCTGAATGTCCTGTGCAAGCTGCGATCTACGCGACCTGCTACGGAGAGCCTTTTTTGTAATCACGCAAAGGTGTTCGTCGAATTGACTCTGCTGCTCACCGATCCTTGGCAGAAGGCTTGCAGAAAACTCGAAGGGTTTAGGGTTTAGGGTTTAGGGTTTAGGGTTTAGGGTTTAGGGTTTAGGGTTTAGGGTTTAGGGTTTAGGGTTTAGGGTTTAGGGTTTAGGGTTTAGGGTTTAGGGTTTAGGGCTTTGGGTTTTGGGTTTTGGGTTTAGGCACCTCCTCTCCTCCTCTCTTGCTACCACGTGCTTGAAACCCGTAGCAATGGCCAGTCGTCTACGATTGCAAGCCGTCCGTCGGGCCACCCAGAACATTCTTAATTCACGAAATCACGTGTATCTGCACACTGTAGACTCCCGCCATCGTGACCGCCCGCCATGCACGCTCCCCGCACCCCGGCCGCGAGCCTCTGCACAGCAAAGCGCGTCGTACGCGCGCAGCCGCAGTGGGCATGTGCTGCAGTAAAACGGGGAGGAGGGACCAGACCTCGGCAAAAGCACGCAACGAGAGGCTGAACCGCAAATCTAGCTCTGAAGCTGAGTCGGTCTGTCATGTCCCTAGCTCCCTGATTCTTTCAAGCACTCCAAGGAAAGGCCTAAACTAAGCCAGCCCAGCTGTCAGCTTTCTTCTTATATTCAGGTCCCGAGCCCCCTAACAGCCCCTCCTTCTTCGACCAACAGACCTTTTCTGCTTTTTTCTTGGGGGTGGGGAGGTGGACGGGGAGGGTCAGGTCGGGCCTACTGCACAGTACGGACCCTCAACTCTCAACCCTCAGCCCTGAACCCTACTAGCCCTAAACCCTAAACCCAACCGAGTCACAGTCGTTCAGGGCTCACATGGAGAACTCGTCGCTCTCCAGCTCTTCCCACCTCTCGTTCACACCTTGCAGCTGCAGATTCTGCTATAAATATGGGGGGTTTAGGGTGTAGTGCGCGATGCAAAGCTCCCCAAGGCGAGTCCAGGCTGAACCACAAATCTTGGGTTTAGGGTTTAGGGTTGAGGGCTTCAGGGTAAATCTCCCACCTGTCTTCTTCATGGAGGACTGGAACATGATGGTCTTCTCGTCATCCTCCGAGGCCCCCCAAAGCCCCTCAAAACCCCCTCAAGGTCCCCCTCACGGAGGTTTAGGGTTTCAAGGGTTGCCTGCTACCATAGGGTTTAGGGTTTAGGGTTTACGGTTTAGGGTTTTGGGTGTCGGGTTTTGGGTTGAGGGTTTAGGCGGTTTCAGGGGTGTAGGGGCTTTCTAGCGGTTTGAGGGTTTTTGGGTTTAGGGGTTTAGGGGCTTAGGCGGTTTAGGCGGTTTAGGGGTCTGGGGATTTAGGGGTGTAGGGTTCAGGTTTTAGGGTTTTGGGGTTCAGGGGTCCAACTCCGCGCGCCTCCTCTGCATCTTCCAGCATGGCAGCTTGTCCCCTCAGGTCACTGGTGGCTGAAACCCTCACAGTCTTACCGGGCTCTTGTCAGGGAACTTAAGCTAAAGAGTTCCAATAAAGGCACGATACTCCTTGGTACATGAACTCCCTTTATGGACCCTAAGCCCTAAACCTCCTTAACAGGTATACCGTTGAGGGGTTGATTCCTGTAAGGAACCGATGTCCGCATTCCCGGCTACAAGCAAGAACACTCGGAACCTGCAGCACGGTGTTTCAAGCGACTGAAGGAGGGACCCTTACAAGGGATCTTCGGGGGTATTTAGGCGTTATTTGGGGGCTACTTAGGTTTGTAGGGACTTTATAAGGTATATTTTGGGGTTGTTTTGGGGAATAAGATTAAGGGTTTTCTCTAGGGGTCCCTCCTTTTACCCCTTAAGTGTTAAGACCGCGATCAGTAGGGGCTTTTGGGGGGGGTCTGGAGCCACAGTACCCTGGGCTTGCCTGCCCGTCCTCCTCGGACGCGAGATGGGCTTGGTCATCCCAACCCTCAGTAGGGCTTAGGGTTTAGGGTTTAGGGTTTAGGGTTTAGGGTTTAGGGTTTAGGGTTTAGGGTTTAGGGTTTAGGGTTTAGGGTTGCGAAGCCCCGGTGTTCGGCTAAGAGCTGCTGGGGATTAAGGGTTGAGGGTTTAGGGTCCCCTTGCAGGCTTGAGTTTTCCAGGCCTTGCCCGTCGAGACATCGTGTTTAGGGCTGAGGGCTTCAGGGCTTTACCTGAAGATCTCTCAGGTCGCGGCTGCATGAAGGATGTCTCTTCCTCTTGCGCGTCATCCCCCATGTCGTCCAGGAACATGGCACCTCTACCAACTCGTTCTGCTGAGGGGTGTTCAGGGATTAGGAACCGAGGGTTTAGGCTTAGGTTACATTTCAGGGTTTAGGGTCTCCAAGGTTTCCGGTTCAGGGTTGAGGGTTTAAGCAACGAGCAACAGCAAAGTCGACGCAGAATCGGAACTGAGCAGGGACTTGAATTTCGAGCACTGCGCATGTGTTCGAGGCCCGTAAAGAGTGGGACTGAATGGGGTGGAGGGAGAGGAAGGATCTGCATGATGGTGGTCCCTTGGGGGTTCTGCACATTGAGTGTCTTCCCGATAGCTTCTGGTGGAACATCGGGCTCAGTCGTGAGATCATTCCCTGTGTTCCGTAGGAACCCTCCGCACGAACCCTGAGCCCTGAAACCTCTTTTGGGGTGCAGTACGGCCGACTCGGGGATGAACGACAACGACACACGCTCATTGACCTGAGGGGCTGTGCATGATGAACCCTAAGCCTCCCTAAAGATCCCTGGGTAACAAGGCGGCTTCTGCGCCTCCCAAGAGGTTCTGTGACAGGAGGGCCATCAGGAAAAGTGCTGCCTGCCGCGGAAAAACGGGTCAGCGCCGGCTTCTGTTGGCCGCAGGGATGATCCGGGCATCCCAAGCCCTGAACCAACAAGCCTTGAGCCCTACGTGACTTGCAGAGCTTAGGATTCGGGGCTCATAAACTCTGAGGTTTTTGGGCTTAGGGTTCTTAGGGTTCGGGCTTTGAAGTCCCGACTCGGCACTCAACCCGACATGGACCTTCAGGCTTCCGAACACCCCGAAGTCCAAAACCAACCACAACAGCACGGCCTTGCGCATCATTGCCGCGTTACCGTGCCGAAGACTTGTTGCCTCAGGCTCGGGTGCACCACTGCCACGCCTCTCTAGGATTGACTCCCGACCCTCTCCGAAAGTTGTCTGCGACCAGGGTGTTGGAATGAATAGGTCAAAACAGGGATCGACAAACTCCATCACTAAGCGCATCGGGGAAGGTAGGCCCTCTTTCTAATTGCCAGCTGAAAACTCCAGAGCGAAGTTTCATCTAGGGGTGGGAAGGCCTTAACGGTTGAGGAATTTAGGGAAAATTGAGGCCAATGCTGAGACCATCTGGGATTCTTTCTAGCACCCCTGCATCCTTAAATTAGGGGTCTTCGGAACCTAAGCGCCCGAAACTCTCAGGCCCGGGCTAAGGTAAGAATGGATGCAGTGCAGGGTTGGTTCTTTCTCTGACTAACTGCGCAGGGGGTAAAGGACTTCCCCCCTCTTGAGCCAAAGAAAGGACAAGAGGCCATCCGAAAGACATTTGGGTGTGGGTGAGGCTTCAGGGCATCAGGGTGTTGCGAAGTTAGTTTAGGGTTCAGGTTCTTAAGGGACTTGTGGGTTTGCGCAATTCTCGGGGCCATCCAGTGCGACAACTGACACGAGGAAAAGCGCTGTGTGCAGAGGCTTTTGCTTGATCGGCGGCCTATATACATGAAGCGATCCCATGATGTCATGGTGCGGCTTCGCTTGAGATGCACTCGCGCTGCGCTGGCTGCGGGCTTCCGATGAGTCGTGGTTCCTCGCCCTCCACCCCGCCCCCGCGCAAGTGTCCGTCTGCTGCTCCTGAAGCTACGCCTGCGCCTGTAGGGTGAAAACATATATACAGCCGTGGACGGTCGGTGCGCAACCAGGTCCACGGATCTCCACGGATCGTCACTTGGAGATGTAGGCGCTCGGGTTCACCCCCACCAGCATCTCGACATCCTCGGGCATGGCAGCTAGTACCAGCTGCAGCGACTGCAATTATTGCTACCCTTGTTCGCAAGTACTATACTATGTCTTCTAGTTGCTAGTAACTAGTATCTGCTAGTATTCCTATCACCTGCTGCTTTGCTCTATAATCCGGTGGCTGTCAGGCCTTGTCAGACTGGGTGTCGGCAGAGACCCCGCCTCCGCCAAGTGTGTCGTACCTGGCAAGGCGGCTACTCGGTGCAAAGGTGCAGCAATGGAAGATGCACGGGCTACCAGATGTAGTTGATCAAGTCCTCCCCGGACAGTCCTGCACTGATTCGGCTCACCAGGTGCTTTGCAAGGCTGTGTGTACAGCCGGGACACAATCTCCGCCCTGCTCTTAAACAGCTCGAAATCCTACGCAAGGTAACCCGGGTATCCTAGCTCCGTGTGAATCTTGCCATAGGCCGTCAGTTCGGCCTCGACATAAGCCTGAGGCGACTGTGGGTGGTTGAAAGATGTTCTAGGCCTCAAGGAGGCTTTGTGAGGCTTTACAGGGCTTCGGGGGGACAGGGAATTTTGGGGGGGGGGTTTCGGAACCCCAAACCCCAAACCCTGTACCCTATGCCCTATACCCAAAACCCGGCTGGCTCGGGCTTTCGTGGGGCTCACTGGGTCTCATTAGACCCAGCCTCGATAATGGCAGCATCCGCTCGGCCATTTTGCATGATGCGGTGCTGGTCCCCGATTGCCTCTCGGGGTGTATAGGGCAGGGTTTAGGGTTTATGGGGTCCAGGGTTGAGGGTGTAGGGTTTAGGGTCTGAAAGTGGGATTGCTTAGGGTTTATAGGGTTCAAGTTTCTGAAACAGTTTTGGGTTTAGGGTATCAAGCCCAGGCCAGCCCCCGTTCCGAGTAATGAGTGAGAAAACAGGAAATCATTCAGTGCACGCAACAATACCGGTAACCATATTATTCTCGGCGTCATTTGCCGCACGCCTAAGTGAGTTTATGACTGCTTCGTTCATCTCAAAGCCTTTGATCTTATAAGCCTGTGTTGGAATGAACATAATGAGGCTTGGAAACAGGGGTCAAAAAACGTACTAAGGGTCCATCATGAGGGATTTGCCCAAAAATGAAAAGCGGTGAGCTCGGATGCAAGAAGAACGCCCCCTCAAAGTAGTGGAATGGCCCGTTCTTTTTGTTGTGAGTTGTGTGGTCCCTTGTTTTGGTTACCATGCAGCTAGCGGCCGGCCTCGTATCCTAACTTATTGGGGTTGGGGGGTCTTTCTTAGGGGTCTCCTATGTTTCGTACCCCCCCCCCCCCCCACATAGCTGCGCAGTGCTAAACCCGAGCAACGTTGCCACCCCAAGGCGCTTTGACTAGGGCTGCAGCGGCTTACTTCGTGCCACGAGTGTTCCACAAACACGAAGAAGGAGCAACCCCTCAACCCTAAGCCCGAGACCCTGTACCTCAAACCTACAGTAAGAGCTCTCGCGCCTGCTGGATTGTGACGTTCGCCTGGGCCTGCACAGACCCTCGAAGGTCTGTTGTTGTTTAGGGTTGGGCCCGAAAGGGTGGCTCGATAGAATGGGTCCCCATCTTCGGAAAAGAGCCCCACCCATCATCCAGGCCGGTTTAAAGCCCTAAAGCCTAAAGCGTTTAGGGCGTAGGGGCGTCGGGTCCCGGGGTTTAGGGGGCTCATGGCTTGAGGTAGCGGTTCGCGTTTGGGGGTTTCGGGGTTAGGGAGTTAGGGGTTTAGGGGTTTGCTTGGAGGATGGCAGGGTTGTGACTTTTATTTTGTTTGCTGCTATTGTGATTCATAGGACGGTCGCAACATGACGACACTGATGACTATGATGAGGACTCTGATGAATACCATGGCTGTTCCGAGTATAATGACTCTTTTGATGCTTATGATTCTTCTCACTATTCACGAAAAAGAGGATCACGGCGACTTTGGTTTTGCAATTGTTCTTTTGGGCGGGTTCAGCCTTTTCAGGGCAGTCACCGGGCCCACCTCAGCAATCTGCCTGGCCGTCTGGAACTCCACAATCTTCGCGGCCATGGTCTGCGAAGCAGCTTCGGCAGCATGGCCGAGAATCCCAAAAACCCGGATACCAGAAGGGAGAGTACAAAACTCCAACAGTTAGCTTCAGGATCGGAGACGACTCACATTATCCTAGGTCCTGGAGCTGAAGATTTGCAGTCGTTGCCCTCGGGCTCTCCTCCGCACACCATGGCAACATCAGAAGCAGCCGATGCCTTGGACATCTTGGTGATGTTCTGCTTGCTCGTGGCAGCCGTCAGGATTGTCGTGGTGAACGCCTTCCAGGGCTGCGCAGTACTCAGAGTGGCGAGGCACAGGGGCGAGCAACGCCGATGGTCTGGGACTGCTTTTCCACCCGCAGAAGCCAAGCAGAACATTCAATGATTCAATAAGGGGGCACCCTAGGAGGGTGTTGAACCTTCGTGCAACTTAACTTGCCGTGCAACTTGCTGGCGCTTAACGTTTAGTGGCCAGGTGATCGGCATACCCCTACCCCCCCACCCCCCACCCTAAACCCTAAACCCGAAACCCTAAACCCTAAACCCGAAACCCTAAACCCTAAACCCGAAACCCTAAACCCCCAAAACCCCCACTGAGACTCCGAACTCCCGACCTCCGGCAGGTCATCCTCTTGGATCTGCAAGGACTCCACGGTCGCGAAGAGGTGCTGCCGGGCTTGAAGGGCTTGGTTAGGGTTTAGGGTTTTGACAAGGGCTTAGGTCTTAGGGCTTCAGGGCTTAGGGCTTAGGGCTCAGGCTTCGGGCTTCGGGCTTAGGGCTGAGGGTGGGGTTCAGGAATTGGGGCGTTTTGGGTTTGCGGGTTTAGGGTAGTACTGGGTCGGGAGTGACAGGAAGTTTCGGATTGGGATTTGCAATTGGAGAGCTTCTTTGGTTTGCTTTGTTTTTTGGGGGGGGGGGGGGGGGGGGGGGAGGCGGGGGGGGGGGGGGGGGGGGGGGGGGGGGGGGGGGTTGGGAGGGGGGGGGGGGGGGGGGGGGGGGAGGCGGGGGGGGGGGGGGGGAGGCGGGGGGGGGGGGCGGGGGGGCGGGGGGGGGGGGGGGGGGAGGCGGGGGGGGGGGGGGGGGGGGGGGGCTCGGTATGGAGCGATTGGGCCTTTAGACGCCTGTAGTGAAACTGCCTAGATGCCTGCCCTGCTCACGGAAACAGGAGGGCAAAGGCAACTTTCTTGTCCCAGATAATAGAAAGAGAGTGTCAAGCCTTGGAGAAGTAGTCGTTGAGGTGCAATCGCATGTCCTCACCATGTGGGATCGAGGTTTGGTGCACGTGTTTCGGGGTCTGGGGCTCATGGGAGCCTCTGCAATCTTCTGCTTCTCGTTGAAAAACTGATACGCAGTAAACCTCGGACATCGTGCAAAAAGGATGGCTCGGCAACGATGTATGTAACAACAACAGAACCGTTGGCACGGTAGAACCATTGAACTCTTTGTGCCGGGCTTTGTCGCAAGCTCGGTGATCATGTGCATGCCTGTCGGCAGGGTATGTGGGTAGGCACCGGAAATCCTAAACCCTTATCCTTACCGAAACTTGCCTGTGAGCTTGAAGATTTTCTCGTAGTCTCCGTAGTTGTTCTCGTACGCGAAGTAGAGGTCGCGTATTCCTGAGGGCTTTGAGCTTTGAAGCCTCGAGGGAGGTCCCAGCCTACACTTCTCTCCCATGCACTCCTCTGGCGCAAGGGGCACTGAGCCCTGAACCCTACCAAATACATGTTGTGTGCCATCATCTCGAGAAGAGTTGCAGACAAAATCCTTAAAGCCCTCTACACCTGTAAGAACTTTTTCCCTGACCAGGGCCGGGTCTGTCTGGCATGAGCCGGTACTGGAACGCCAGGCCCAGAATCAAGGGCAGGCCGTCCTGGAGGCGTGTTGGGTTAAAGGTTCAAACGGCCCCAAACTACCCAGCAGCTTCAGCCCCAAAAGCCCGAAAATGACTAGCACGATTTGGGATGTTCCCCCTTGTACTAACAGCGCTTGATAGGGATTGAATGGGAATATAGTACCCCCGATGATAATGTTGTATCCTGATTAGTGTGCCCCCCCCCCAGAATTGTGCAAAAAAAATCCAAAGACTATTCAGGGGGGTCTATTTGAGGAGGTCCCCCGGAATTGTGAGAAAAAAATCGGGGGATGCAAATTTTCGGCGAGGCTGTTGAATGGCGTTGTTGTCCAGCAATCGCTTCTGAACTGAGCCTGAGAGACCAAAGATCTGAGCCTGATCAAAGGTTTAAAGCCTGAAACCTTGAGGCCTGAGGTTGTCGGGCCCTGAAATCTTCAGTCTCCAGGCCAGGCCCAAAGCTAAGATTTCCTTATAAAAAGCATTTGTACCGAGGCCAGGCAATCAAACATCAAAGGGGGTAGTCCAACAGCTGCCCGAATGCCGTATAATGTAAAACGCTCGGTCCCCCGGAATTATGGCTTTTTGCGGGCTGGCTTGGTTGGGATAGATGGATCCCCTTCAAATTCATACAAACTCGTCCCTTTTTTAAAATCATGTGGGTCCCTTTTAACATCATATGAACCCCTTATATATTCATACAAGCTCATCCCTCTTGAGTCGTATGGATCCCATTTAAATTCATATAAGCTCATCCCGTTTAAGACCATATGGACCCCTTTGAAATTCATATACTGTAAACTCATCCCTTTTAAAAACATACCAAAGCCAGACCCCCCCCCCCCCCAAATTGCCCCCCCCCACCCCCCCCGCCCCGCGCCCCCCCCCCCCCCCCCCCACCCCCCCCACCATCCCCCCCCCGTGGCTGAGCAAAATAGGGTCTATTTAGAAGCTACCGCCTGGGATTATTAATCAATTTTAGCATATCCAAGACAACCCAGCTACTTCTCCAACAACGTCTCACGCATATGCGCACTTAGACAACTCATTTCGGACTGATAAATGTTTTGGCTCTTGCAATCTCAGACCCTAAGCCCGGAACCCTGACCACAAATTCGTACACTCTAAAACCCTACACAAGAAACTCTATACCGTATTTCCTAAACTCTAACTCCTAAACCCAGAATCTAGAAAGAAAAGGAGGAAAAAGAAAGAATCATGTGCAGACGTTCCTGTGTTCCTATCTTCGGAGTTCTTCTATTCCTATCTCTGCTGATTTTTCAGAATGGAAGGAGGGCTTCATTTTCCCTCTCACTTTTCCTTTCACTTTTCTTTTCTCACTCCAAGCAGAAGGGAGAAGACAAGGGTCAATAAATAGAAAGGTGACCAAAATGGATGAAAAGATCGCCTGCTTTCATTTCTAAACGGCCTGTCCCCGCCTTCTTTTCTTTGCACAGTGCAGACATAAATAAACACGAAAGAAGAAAGAGGGCCTTTCCCTACTATTTCCTTCGCTATCCTGGAATCCTGGTTCGGAAAAGAAAGGAACAGCTACCAGCCCCCCTCCCGTCTTTCATCTTTCCATTTCTTTTGTTTCGTCACGCTCAAACGGACACAAGAAGGGCGGCCTCTAGTGTTTCCTCGCCTCCTTCTGCACTGTTTTAACTTCCTTTCTTTTCTCTTCTGTTGCTTTGTGTGACAGGTGCGGGGGCATTTCTTTCACTTTTCCCATCGAAGAAAGGCTCCCTTCCTATCCGCATATTTTCTTTTCTCTTCCTTCCGAAAAAGACTATAAGAGGCAGGGATAAACAGAATGAAAGAGGAGTGTCCTTTTGCTTTCCGACTACCTTCTCACCACAAAAAGGAACCCTTCTCTTTCTTCCCTTGACTTTCTTTTATCTTGTTTGCATTCTACGTTTCCCACTAAGAAAATGAGACAATGATGAAGATAAGTGAAGAAAGATCACCTGCCTGCACGCAGGTTCTCGGGAGCTTGTCTCGACCGGGCTGTCCCTCCTTTCCCCGCACGTCCCTTCGCTTGTCCCCATTGATCTCTCGCGTCTCTTCCCTTTGCACTCTCTCGCCTCTGGCCCGCCTTCCATGCTGAAAATGCTGAAGAGATACGAAAAGAAGAGCTCATGATTCTTTCTCATTTCTTCTTCTTTATCATTCCCATATGAGTAAAGAAGAAAGATTAGGAGAGAGAGCCCTGCGGCAATTCCTGTTTTGGGCGGAAGAAAAGAAACAAAGAGATAATAAGAGAGAAGAACGAATAAGAAGGTGCCGGGAACGAAGATGGAAACTGCTCCTTCACCCTGGTCTATCGCTTCCTTTTCGAATTTTTTCGGAAGGAAGATCGAAGAAGATAGTGGGGAAAAAGGAGTGAAGTGCCCGTAGAAGGGAGAAAGTGAAAGGGATGCCCCCGCAACTTTCATATTTTGATAAGAATGCAAGCGCCAGCAGAGAAGAAAGGAAGAGAGAATAACGAGGAAAGAGCGGAAACCGAGGAGATTAGGAGCCAGGTTTCCCTGATTGATTCTCGTCACTTTTCTCTGTTTTGGGAAGGTAAAGGGCTTTATATCTCCCACCTCTCTCCCTTGTCTTTTTGGTTGGAGTGAGAAAATATAAAGAAAAGCGAAAGGAAAAGTGAGAGGGAGAAAGAAGCCCTCCTTCCATTCTGAAAAATCTACAGATTTAGAGACAGGAATAGGGGACAATATGGAAATGATTCTTTCTTATTTCTTCACGTTGTCTCCTTTCCCTATATGACTCCCTTGCGATTTCCCTTTTGGTTGGAGTGAGAAGAGACAAAAGAAAAGTGAAAGGAAAAGTGAGAAGGAGAAAGGACGCAGAGATAGGAATAGAAAAACTCAGAAGAGACACAGTCTCAGACAAGATAATTTGCTGACTTGTGATTGCGTGGCTGCCTTGGCAAGAGTTGTTGCTGGAATGGCTTTTGGGAAGAAAGTCGGAGGTGCACTTTTCGATCCAGGCGTGTTTCGCGAGCCGCAGCTTCTGGCCTCCTCTTGCTTGGGCGTGGCCAAGCGCCAGGGAGCAGAAATGCTGCGTTTTTCAAGTTTCAAATTCGTTTCTGTAGTTTCAGACTAGTTGCAAAATAGTTTCAAAATCCAGTTGCAAAATCGTTGTTAAGGGGAAACTGCGTTTTTCTACGCGCAATTGCAAAACATGCAGAAGTTCTGGTTTTCAACAAGCGCGGACAGAAATTGCAGCTCCTCCTTAACAGCGATATTTCAACTGGATTTTGAAACTAGTTTGAAACTGACTTGAGACTAATTTGAAACTATGGAAACGATTTTGAAACTCGAAACACTACCATATTCCGGACTTTCTGCCCCCCTCCTGGCCCCTCACATATGGCCCTCACGCACGGGAAGTTGACTTTGGTCAGGCGTGACTAGAGACCAGAGCTTCCGAAAGCTTGCCAATCTCCGGACAGTAGGAATAGAGGAATGTGTGGAAATGATTCTTTCCTAGTTCTTCATCTTCTTTCTCCTTTCCCTATGTATGAGAAAAGAAGACAGACAAGGAGAGAGCCCCCTGCAATTAGGAATTTCCCCAGAAGAGAAAGCGAAAGGGATGCCCCCGCAACTTTCACGTTTTTGAGAAGAATGTAAGCACCAAAAGAGAAGAGAAAGGAAAAGAGAATAGCGAGGAAAGAGGCAAGGAAACACAGGAGGCAGCCCCTCCGCTTGCTTCTTGAATGAAAAAGACATCGGAGAAATGGAAACATGAAATTGAGAGGGAAGTTGCGCTTTTCCTTGCTGAAGAACAAAGCAATTCCAAAGAACATGGAAAGCACAAGGAATGTACTGGGAAAGGTAGGGAAAGGGATTCTTCCCTCTGACTTTTTTGCTTTCCTTCAATCTGCGATGTAAAGGGAAAAGATGCAGCGGACAGGTCTGAAAATACAGGCAGGTGATCTTTTTTCCTTATTGTCATCATTGTCTCTTTTTCTCAGTGGGAAACGTCTCATTTTCTCAGCGGGAAACGTAAAGTGCAAAAAGATAAAAGAAAGAAAGTAGGGAAGAGTTGGAAGGTTCCTTTTTGTGGTGAGAAGGTAGTCGGAAAGCAACAGGAGACTCCTCTTTCATTCTGTTTATCCCTACCTCTTATAGTCTTTTTGGGAAGCAAGAGGGAAGAACATACGCGGATAGGAAGGCAGCCTTTCTTTGATGGGGAAAAGGAAAGGGATGCACTGCCCCCTCAATTTTCATGTTGATGGGAATGTAAGCACCGGGAGAGAAGAAAGGAAGAGAGAATAGCGAGGAAAGAGGCAAGGAAACACATGAGATTAGGAGTCAGGTTCCGGTGATTGATGTTCGTCTCTTGTCTTCTTTTTGAGAAGGTCGCTTTTGGTTGGAGGAAGAAGTCCGCCTTCCATTTTGAAGAATCTGCAGAGATAGGAATTGAAGAAATCACAAGAGACACGGATAGAGGACATTATAGACATGATTCTTTCTTATTCATTCATCTTCTTTCTTCTTTCCCTATATGAACACAGAACAAAGACAAGGAGAGAGAGCCTCCTGCAATTGGGAATTTCCCCAGAAGAGACAAAGTGAAAGGGATGTCCCCCGCACCTTTCACACTTTTGAGAAGAATGTAAGCAACAGAAGAGAAGAGAAAGGAACTCATAATAGTGAGCAGGGAGGCGAGGAAAGACTGGAGGCAGACCTTCTTTCCGGTTGAGCAGGACGAAACAAGAGAATGTAAGATGTAAGTCGGGAGGGAGGCTGGTAGCCGTTCCTTTCTTTTCCGAACCAAAGACAAAGAGGAAGGAAGGCAGGATAGGTTTCCGTGATTGATTTTCGTCACCTCTCTATGTTTTGAGAAGGTAAAGGGCGTTCTATCTCTCACCCCTCTCCCTTGTCTTCTTGGTTGGAGTGAGAAAATATAAAAAAAGCGAAAGGAAAAGTGAGAGGGAGAAAGAAGCCCTCCTTCCATTCTGAAAAATC